GGTTAGATATTGACACACAACATGACCTATTAAAGCGTAACAAAACTTGCCTGTCAATATATATATATGTACTGAACATTCCCTACTTATTCGTTTACTCCGGGATCGGGAGTCGCGGGACTGATTCGAATAAAGTTAGTTTCATTGGTGGAAGGAACTTAGACGCTATACCAAATCAATTCTGGATACCAACCGTAAACGTTTTGTGTAATGGCAAACTTTTCCCGCCAATACTATTTATGCTTCGCACCGATTGAAATGAACAGTGAACCCAGTCAACATTTGATAAAATGAGTCGAGTTTTACATAGCTACGCACGTACGATAGTGGGTTAATGCTGAGTTAGTCGTTCTACTTCACATGCTTGTCCAATCCCGCCAAATGAAAAAATAATTGCAAAAGTTTGCCACGTAACCTTTTTTTCTGATTCTTTGTATTAAGCTCATGTCGCAAATAAATGGTTCCGCACCCTACTTTTGAAATCGCAGTCACGTGAAACGGACCGTCTGGTCACACCATTAACTTTAAAACATGAAATAAGCTGTGCTCGTGGCATCATTCAAAACCCAAATCTGCGCTGAAGCCAAGGTTCAAATGTGGCTGGGTTTGTTTTGGTGAGCAGTTATGAATTTATTTGCAAAAATATATATTTTTTTAAATTGTATTGCATATTGTATGTCATATTTACAAAGGAAAAGTTACGATTTCTGAGAATAGATCTAACTAATTAAAATGAAATGGTAATGTGTGAAAATGGCAATTGTGAATTAGTAGTTGCATAGAATGCGTTCTAGTATATCTTCCGTTATGTTAACGTAATGCATGTTTTATTATTAGAGAATAAGTTGATATGGCTATGTCATGTGGGCATAAGTTCGTGTTACTAAATCCAGACTTTTGGTGGGAAAGCTTTTCCGCGACCAAATTATTAGAAGCTCGATGCTATAAGGTGAATATATATATATATTGTTGTGTTCCGGCGAATATAAAGATTTTTTTTCCAGTATGCAGAAGGTGGGTAGTTATCAAATAGGATTTATGCCAAAGACCAAAAGTAAGGTTTGTTCGAGTCAAAGGTGTAACTTATGCTTCGTTTATCTCACTCATGTTTGATTCACACACGAACGACAACGTTTCAGGCAATGTCACTGGATATCGTTCGCTATATTTTTTCACGGATGACCGATGAACGCGTTTATAAGTCGATATCCCTACCATTGGAAGAAAATTACAGTCTATCGATGACATCCTGTTTAAACGCTTCATTTACTGACTTACGGAAATCTCCTTTTTGTCACCCCTATTTTACGATTGAGATATTACATCCGTTCATGAATTTAGGGGAGCATGTTCCTACCCTTTTCAAAAAAGGCGTTCGATAAAAACGTTACGGACTTCCAAAAGAACATTCATTTTATTTTTGCTTGTTTGTAATACCCCAAAAAAATCTGGTAACAACAATTTTCGATTACAAAAGTAAATGTTGCAAAATTTGCCATTAACGAAGAAGTTTCGTACCAAAATGTGCTACAATACATAAGTCATCAGGATAATGATGAACAATGTTTTTAGTGCTGCGATATTTAGAAACTTAGCATAACTGATTTATTTCTCTCAATCTTGTGCAAAATCCGAAACAAATTATCTGAAATATTTGGTTAAGCTTAAAGTTGTTCCATGACATTATCTTGTGTATTATCTTTGTAAAATTTGTCTGATAAGGGTTAACAATAATTCCAAAATCGTTACTCTTTTAAATTACTTAAGTGACGGTACATTTAAAAAGTATGTAAAACAGGTAATCATGAATTTACTGTTGCGTGGAGAATATAGACACACCCTGATAACTGTTAAATTTAAACACGCCATATTGCGAAACACCTTTTTGTGGCGCATATTGGAGGTAAAAATATACATGCTCATTGCATATGAATAGATACATATGATTGAATTATTGGCTCATGTAGATTTGTCGCATTTTTAGAAACCTTTTGGGTTAACTGGCTGATTTCCCCATTTCTAGGAGGTACTAAGAATTCATATATAAATTCTTTAATTTTTTTTTTTTAATTTTATTATTCACTGATCATCTGATATTGCCATTATGCATAAGAGTATTTAAATTTATGGATTCAATGAATAGTCGCCGGTAATTGTACGTGTTCGGATGGAGAAAGTACATTCACTTGTAGTTTGCGACAGGTGGGCACGCCCATGTTATGATTAAATGTTATCAAAATATTTTGTTTTCGCGAGATTCGAAATGAAATTATATTATTCCCGCCCCATTCAAAATATTTCAAACATGACTCGCCTAAAGAAAATACAGTAGCAACGCGGATGGATTCATCTCCATGGCGTTACTGTTGCGTTCACCTTTCTCCACTAATATGCGCTAGTTAAAAAAACATACATAGACGCCGTGGAAGGGCGGAGGTGAATATGATCGTTAGACTTCTGTCTTTTTAGAGGTATGAAATATTTTAATGTATATTGGCAATGGGGGTGGTTATTGGTGTCTTTGTCTTTTGAATTTATAAGAGTCATTGCACAAATAGTTTTAGTTTATTACTGAACACTTGATTTGTGTTCCTATTTCGAGGTAAGGAGCACAAACTAAGCGTTTTCCAATACGCTTGCAACTAACGCAGTCACAAGAGAAAACATGCGTCTCGTGGTCAGGGGAGCGTTTCCATGTGAGTAGTTTATGTAATACGACTGTCATGGAGTTGCTCTCTGATGTACGTGGCTGCAAAACATCGATACATCTAAGTTCTTATAGTTGAGGCTACGAGCATGGGGATGCTTCAGAAATTCCAGATAGCGATGTAAAAATTACTTGAACATTTCAGGAAAAATTCCGACTGTCAGAATAGGTTGAACGAAGTTGATTTATTTATATATATAGATTACAAATTTTTTTACATATATTTTTTTTATGTATGTATGGAGATAAAATTTATATACTCAATTATATATAGAAGTTTTCTATTTGTACGTAATTTACCAATAGCGTTCAAATAAACCTAATAATAATTAAAAATGATCGAGGACATGACACGAAAAAACTTGGACAAAACTATGACATAAATGCATTAAATATGGAGAGAAATGACAGGTGAAGCTCTTTGCGTTCATCGCGGGCTTATCGTACCTTGAACATAACTGTATTTACGCATAAAAGTTGGATCAGAGTCAAAAGCTAATATTCGTTATAAATAATAAGATAATAAAAGATTTTGGCTTTCACTGGTCGCATATAATATCGATACTCCCGTAGTATGTGTACCAGGTTAGAGTTAGGCCATAATTTCATTCCAATTTTTCCTATTCTAGTTCTATTACGAGATCAGGACTGTCTGTGTTAGCCAAGTGAATATACCCCCTGCCCATACGGTTCCGTCCCTTTCCACAACTTTATGTAAAGTAGACGAACAAAATTAGTTACCTCCATATTGGTACACATATATAGCCTACTTCAGGAGCGCCAAAAAACCAGCGTCAATTCATAATGTTACCGAGTTTTATGACAAACTCATTACATAAAAAACTACACAAATACTTCCTAATTTACACAAATACTCTTACTTAATAAAAAAACATAACTTCGTGAAGCATGAAAAATGGTCGCCATGGCTGTTTTCATGTTGTATTACAATCAAATGTACTGGCATCATTGCTCATGTGACTACTAGACCGTCAGCACGATTATCTTTCTCCAATATGCCAATTATTTACTGTATATTTTTAGATTGTGCACACACTGATCGTTTTTGTTAAATTCGAGTACTCAATTTTAAGAGAAATTGTTCCAAGCGAATTCACTAGCACTCATTCAGAAATACAGAATACTCAGTCTTGAGAAAAGTTGCAGCCGATCACTGAAAAGCTAATAACCAGGGAAACTATACAGCAACGATGGCAAACGGCGGCTCGTCGGAGTTTTTATGCGGCTTTTCTCGCTAGCAATAATTTTATAGCTATTATCTAAATTTAACTAAGTGCGGGAGGATTGATGGACTTCCCGCTGCCGTAGGGTGGTTCAGTGACCACTGGTCGATTACGGCTTCCTTACCCATCAAGTCCATGCTTCCGAAAACAAATAACTGTGCGGGAGGATTGATGGACTTCCCGCTGCCGTAGGGTGGTTCAGTGACCACTGGTCGATTATCAAGTCCATGCTTCCGAAAACAAATAACTGTGCGGGAGGATTGATGGACTTCCCGCTGCCGTAGGGTGGTTCAGTGACCACTGGTCGATTACGGCTTCCTTACCCATCAAGTCCATGCTTCCGAAAACAAATAACTAACTATTAACTAATCCCATTCCTGACCTGGAGTGGTAACCGGACGAGAGGCCGTGGTTCGCCATATGGTTAAACGGCTTTCCTCTCCCCCGGGATAAATCCTATACTATCAATATTGAAAATATCGACACATATAGGTAACACTTCAACAAAACAATTGTTTATAGGACGCCTACAGCGAGTCAACTATATTAATCTTTATGATTGTTTTCTAATTCGGTTTGCAATTTCTTACAGCCAGAGAAGTGCATGACCAAGTAGGACATCAATACATACAGAGACGGTTGTGAGCGATTTGTTAAAGGTTTGGTGGCAAATATTGACGAGAACGACACGAGAGCTTCAGATCCACAGACTTTATATACCTTTCCCGGGCCAAATTCTCAGAGAATGCGAGTCTACTCAGACAAAATTGGGAACATGACTTTGTTTTATTTTTAAAGACTTCATAAAGAACAGTCATTGATGCTGAAGATGTGTCCATGATTTGATTGATAGGATTGGATTTAGTACACGAGTCCGGTGTGACACGCTATCGAAAGCTTCAGAAAAATATTCAAATCAATTTGACTTTAGATAACGTAAGGCCCAGCAGCCGAAGAGTTGGAAACCTAGAATATAGGTATCACCAGCCAGACAACAGGAAGAAATACTATCAAAAAATCTTTGTGAATGGTCCAGATTTCACACACTACATTTTCGCTCTCTTTTATTTACCCTTTTTATATTTCAAGTCACATCTTTCAATAAATAGGAAAGTAATTATAAATAAATCATATGAAGCAATCAAAAACAATTTAACACAAATTGTACACAGTGACAATAAGGGCACTTCGGTAAAAATATTTGCTCCGTCATTCATTTAAATCTTTCCGTATTATTAAAAAAATATTTAATTACTGAATAATATAAATATGGATAGACTTCAACCAATAGTAATCAAAACACACAATTATGAAATAAGTATTGAACAATAACATCTCTTCCTGACATATACAGGGCAACCCAAAAAATGACCTGGGTTCTGTTTTTTGGGGATCAACCATATTTAAATAGATAATATTACAAATAAGATTAATTTCAACACTTTTTTAAATAGTTAGTTTTTCAAGTAAGCTTTATTAGAAAGGAACAGCTGCAAGTCTGAATAGAAACAATGATGGATTTTGATCAAAATGGGAACATTTTCATCAAATCAGTAATAACATGTATTTACATAATTCATATAAGTTAAATAAATATTAATCCATGCCTTACTTGTATTTGTGAAGAGAACAATTATAGATTGCCATAATGCATGAAGGCTGAATATTTTGAGGCAAATTAGAGTATCTAAACATGAAAAAACACATTTGAATCAAAAAGAATTCTTATTATTTTGGACTGCATCATTGTGGAACTTTTCGAATCTCTGCCATACCACTGTTATATACACTTATGGGCCATAAAGTTGGTTCTGGCGCTGTACATGTCAAGATTTATTGCCATACATATACATATAATCTGCAACAACAGAGGATCAGGCTGATGTCTGGAAACTATTTAAGGAATTAGATACTAAATCTGCATTCGGAATCAACATTCACATTAGGGTCCAGTAACGACCCCCGTCTTTATCAGTAGTATCTACAGAAGTCGACATATCAATTTGCATTCGATTTCTTGGTTCTTTAGAGAAGAATATGAGCAGAGGAATGGAAACCCCAATAAATACTAACATCAGGTAATTGGTCAACTTTGCATCTGTGAACATGAGAAAAAATAAATATTAATTTACTTTTGAATATTAAAAACAACAAACATCTAATCAAACTTAAAATAAAATAAAGAGTGAATATATGATAATGCCATTTCTCTCTACTAATCGTGAATAAATAACAGAAAACATACCTGTAAATTGCATAACGAGAAGTAAAGTAAAACTTAATAAGTTGAAGAACCAAACAATAACACTGGCTGATATGGCTTCACTTGTTGGATAAGCAGCATCAGCTCCCATCTCCATACCAAGCGGAACTGCTGCATTCATTGCTATACCAATTATTATACAATCGATCCACAAGCCAACTAAAAAAAAATCAAATCATACTTTGTATATGCCAAATTTTACTATGCCCACAGTAGGATAACCCTAAACAGAGGATCCAATTCACACATTAACAATCATATCAGGGATAAGATAACATGCTCTGTGAATATTGCCCGTATTCTGGAACAAAAGTATAGCAATCAGTAAAACAATGTTAGTGATGTATTGATCATACATACCATTAGATAATTCAAATCCTTTTATCTTAATCCATCTTTGACTCATGTTAATATAATAAAGATAGCCAAGAAATGCAATGGAAAATAATACGACAATCATCACTTTAATGTGACCTTTGAATCTGTCGGCAAACCTGTACAATAAAGAAAAACAATGTTTTAGCACCACAATGTATCACAGCTAAAAAGCCAATCTGTGAGAGCTGAATAAAAAATGCTTTGGCGCATTACATAGTTATCTTATAAATCAGTATTCTTCAAACTTTTTTCATAACAACTCGGCCCCCCAGGATTTATCATAAAAATACAATAAAATTGAACAATGAGACCGATTTGTTTGCATATTTTCACACAAAAGATCAAATCATGCCCTATTTTGGTGATGGCAGGTCTTAGCACCGGTTCCAAATTTGAGCGATATTTTGTTTTAACATTAGTTAGTGGCAAAAAAGATTTTACCGCATTCATTCTCTTACCATAGGAGTTGGGAATACTATTCCTTTATTCAGTCATTTTAACTATTGAACACAACTTACCAGCCAACCAGTAAACCAAAAAAACAACCAGCCAGTGTCATGAAAAATCCAATTCTCCCTGCTTCATCCTGTCATAAAAACAACCATATTTTTTCATAAAAATTTTTCCTCATGCAGTAATAGGAAGAGAAAATTGGCAAAGGGTATTTGGTCAGAGAGAATGTAGAGCAACTGCAGTTTATAGTAAGAAATGCCAATCTAGTCATTTGTAATTGAATGTTAAGGTTTTAGGTTTTTTTTTGTGTTGACATAACATTACATAGGAAATTGATAACAAATTTATTGTATTGTTCTGTTTTAAAAGCTTACTTGAGACACAGGAACTGGTAATTCACTCATAATTACACTCAGCACACCAGTCCACCCTCCATAACCACCGAGTGTGAGTGCAAAAGTGAGAGCAACAACAAGAAATGTTCTGTGGTAACGTAAAGCCTTCACTCCTTCCTGAAAACAAATGCTCTGATAATGCCCGACATTTGGAATACTAAAATTATGGCCTTATACGAAAGTGATCATAATCAAGATGTAAGAAATAGCATAACCTTCCTTCACTAAGCTATTATATCATCAGAAATGACTTTTCACTGAAATCTCATCATAGAATCTATAAATCAAAATGAGATACCCATTCCTTGCCTTTAACAACATAACTCAAACATTTCTCTCAAAACATGTTTGTCATTATGTGTTTTATTTATATATATTTAAATAATGCAACCAGTTTCGAAATTTACCCAAAAAGTAGCGTCTATGAAACCTCTACACAAGCCTAGATAGAATGGGAATTATGAAAGACTACGGTTTTAGTCGTGCTCGTCAATTCAGTTATTGTCTGTAACTTTGCTCAATGGCGAGTCTTTTGCGTCCGAGTGACTGCGTGTTACCATATCTTGAGCAAATTCTTACAAAATAACCCAATAACTCTCAATTTCAGTAAACTATTTCAACATTATTTCAAATAAAACATTATCAAACTTTAATAATCATATATGGAATATTGGTTATTGTTTCTATTCAATGTATTTTTTATTTAAAATTTGAAAAATTCAGTAAGATTGTTTGCATTGCAGCACTGACAATCATACAGCAATAGAAAATGTTTGTTGTACTGTTGAAAATTCAATGAAACTCACTAAAATTGATAACAAACTGAAGTTGACTGCAAATTTATAACTACATAGATGAGATACTATAAAAAGATTTGACATATTCAAGTTACAAGTAAACTTTACAGGGTTTTCTTGCAGTTTATTTATGTGTGTTTCAATTGTCACGTGTGCTTTATAATGCACATAACTTGAATAAACAATAAATAGCGTTATAAAGATACTGTTTAAACACTGTGATGAAGCACATGATGATTAAAAACAAATAATCCATTGCATTAAATTAGCTCTAAACATTTTCAAATATATATAGGCCTATACAAATATTTCCTAAGAGCTCAGCACAAAAATACTCAACATGGGACTTGTTTTTGCTAGCATTTTTCGTGGGTTTTTGTTAAAGAGTTCAAAAGTATGATCCATCCCTCTAAGGGCAAAAAGAGCATTAGATTTTGAACAACTAGAAATTTCTAATTACGATAGCTTACCAAGAAGTCCATCCTTCCAACAGAAGCAGATGCGCTTGGTGGCATTGGAGGTTTGTTTGGAAAAAAGATTAACATACATACAAATGTCAGTAAACTCAATCCAAATTCTAGATACATCAAGTTCATGATTTCTTTCCTTGAGTGAAAATGAAAAAGAAACAAAATTACTAATTTTGAAATTGATTATTTGTAACTATTCAAAAAAATTAAAAAAAATTTAAAATGTCCAATGCTTCCAATCCCTTGAAAATAACATGAAATTTTTTGTATTGATGTGTGAGGTGTAAAATACTACCGTATTGCATGCTCTTCACTTGTGCTGTTACATCCGCTTGCAAGATATACACCATGAAGATCACTTGCATTTCCTGTATGATTGGGTTGTTGGACCATGAGAGGACCAATTATATATGCCACACCGGTACCTGTGTAGGAAGTACTATGTGATAAGAATATAAAGAACAACAGGAATTGTGATATTTGTAAATGGAAATGACAGGAAAGTAAAATGTATGCTATTGATTTAGATTTTTACGGGACCAACTACATATGTAGCAAGAGTGAAGATAAGTATACTTCATGATTTGAGAGTCTTAAGAACAATAACACAAATATATTTCTGCAGCGGTAATGTTGCAGAAATACATTCGTGTTGGTGTGCAGCTAGACCTATGACGTACTGAGTAAATTTAGTTATAAATTTAAATGATACCCCCTTTTCTTAATACCATTTCACAGAAAAAACAATTAGAAAAAATGTATATTTGAAAATTAACACTCATAGTCATTTTTGAGACTTTTGGATTTAGATTGGAATTAATTAAACAGTAAGTACACTCATAGATATGCACTTTATTATGCAGAAAATACTTCAAACAATAAAGCACAGAAATTGATCGAACATATTACTGTAAGATAAAATAACACTATAAAATTAACAACAGTAATTTTACCCATATAATTCAGAAGTGTTGTGATACTCGTAGCTGTCACTCTTTCTTCTGGTGGAAACCAAACATTAGATAACAGTGGGGGAGCTGCCATAACTGCACAACCAGCTATGCCATTCAACATCTGTCCGACGTGAATGAAGCTGAACAATAAATATGAGGATATAATACAGGTTTTGGTTACATTTGCCAACAAAATATAATTCAACTAACTTACTATTTTAGTATATTAACAGGTATTGGAAGACTTCTTAATCCAGTTCCCAAGGCAGTAAAAAAGGCACTTAAAACGATAGGCAGTCGAAGTCCATATTTGTCCAACAACCACATAAAAAATGGCATCGATATTAAAAATGTAATCGGACCCCAATTTGTCAGAAGATCAATGTTGCCTAAAATATTAGTGACAGGTTGAAGACTTTGAGATATTCGGTTCTGTGATATATCTCATATCAAAACACAGGCATATAAAAGTAAATCATTTTCCCTGGAGAGTGGGAATCAAAATAAAATTAACTCTTAATAATTACTTGGGGACTGCTACGCAGTAGAGCATAGACATCCTAGTTTATCATCAGATAAAAAAGTAATTTATCCAATCTTACTCTGCGTGAAACCAATAGCACATTCTGCAGATTTGTCAATTGGACTCCATGTATTCCATACTGCCCCTTGGAGCAATCCAAATAATGAAAATATGAAACAAATGTACCATCTGTACCAGTATTTCTTTGTGACAATACTGCCAACTGATGAAGCACAATCTTCATCCTGATTAAATTGTTGAAAGAAGTTTTTATTAAATAAATATGAATTTAGAAAAATGTAACAATTCAGTGTGATTACAGGCCTATTTTGACAGTTTTAAAGTATTGCAGACTACATCTGAACATTGAATAAATCATCTATCAATATTTTAGATATCTTCTATTCACTATTCAAATATGGGATTATATCTATAAATTATCACATTATATCTTTTAAATAAAGCTAAGCATATGACTTGCAATAAGGCAGAAGAATCGACTTCAAACTGTTATTAAATGTAAATTATATGATAAAAGAATCTACTGTGAATTCACAAGTTTGAATTTAGCGAGAAAGAGTTTTTTGCTAGTATTATTGGATTCTATTAAACATGTAATCCAGTAACCACTCTGCCACTGGTCAGTTATGGCTTCACCTACCACACTATTGAAATTATTGATTACTGGATTAGAAGTTGGATTGCTGGTCCTATTACAGTATTAACAATACAAGAGATTGTGGTGCATCACGTGAATAACAGACATTTATTTCAGCGTCCAAAACCGATCAGAATAATCAAGCGATTCAACATTTCTGAATTTACAGCAGTAATGGTACCAACCTCATCAACACCACAGTTCAGGGATTCATAACCAAATGAGTTCGATCCCACACCATTTCTAGAAAGCAATCCTTGTTTTTCGTCGGTGCTATTCGAAGTGTTTTGCATAACTCAAGCCTTCCTTTCTACACATCAGCAGGCTAGGGCCAAAAAGAACGAACACACACAAATAACTGAATAAGGGGAATTGCCTCAATACAGTACTGTAGCATCTCTGAACATAATTAACACAATGTAAAAAAAGTCTAGTCCAGCTGATTGATGAAAATAAACAGAAAGGTCGAAGGTCGATGTCATTTGTTTTTAAATGTAAGGCGATGTAAGGATAGGGATTTACATATTTATTCCGGAGAAGAGGAAATCCGATAAGACGGCCTAACTATATGGCGAAACACGGCCTCTCGTCCGGTGACCATTCTATGTCGGGTATGGGATTAGTTAGTTATTTGTGTTCGGAAGCATGGACTTGATGGTGAAGGAAGCCCTAACCGAAACAGCGGTTTACGTGAACCATCCTACGGCGGCGAGGAGTCCAGCAATCCTCCCGCACATAACCATCCCGCATGGGATTCGAACCTGCGAATCCACGCAGAGTAATTAGAGGTTCAGTGGCGAGCGTATTTCTAACGCTTAGCACGATGAGCCACACCACCGCGCCGACTTGGTACGGACGGTACAGACTTGGTAGTTGGATAAGACGCAACCAGCCACCGGTTACGCGAACCACCCTACGACGGCGAGTGCAGCAATCCTCTCGTACATAATTATCCTCCATGGGATTCAAGGATAATCATAGATTCGGTGACAAGCATATTTCTAACGCTTAGCTTGTTGCGCCACGCAGCCCAGATTTGTTTAATCCAAAGCTAATGCACGCAGAGCACAGCTCGTACTCTGGCTTTTGCCAGTTAAACCCATCTGAATATAAGGTGATATTTCCTCATCAAAAACATCAAAGAGAGATAGAGAGAGTGATTTTTTTTCGTCAACCAGAAAACAAGCATTGCAACAATAAAAATAGATATACAACATAGGCAAAGTTATTCGGTACAGACTGGGGGAGCGATAAAACCACACGGTCATCAGTGTGAACTCCTCCCATATTCACTATTTTGTATTATGTATGAAGTAATTAGTAAATGCTGTAAAAAAGGCTGTCGGAAAGTGGTCTAGTTCGTTTACAGAATATTTTCAGATAGGGCTATATAGTGATTAAAGTTATAGGGTATAACATGTTTCCCCGAAAATAAGACCTACCCTGAAAATAAGACCTAGCCTGAATTTCAAAAATGATTTTAATATGAGCCCTCTCATTAAAATAAGACCTAATCAATTGCGCAATTTTTTTTTATTACTCAGTCGATAGCGAGAAATCTCCCTTACACGTATTGAATGATTAATTAATCTAAAGCGTGTGAGAGAGAAAAACGTGTTATTTAAAAGTAAATGGATATCGGTTTTCATATTTTGTATATCTGAAAATCTCGTAATTCTCTACTCTGTAAGTTTGTTTTTGATAAATGAAAATAAATAAAAGACATCCCCCCAAAATAAGCCCTATATTATTTATAGAAGGAAAATTGAAATTTTAACAATGAAAACCCGAAATTACAGTTGTACATCACTTAACTGGCTGTATATGTATATGACTGTTGACATGTATATCCATTAAATGACTGTATTTTATGTATATATATATATATTTATTTGACTTGCATATTTGACTTTGCAAGTTAATTAAATTGGCTATGCCTGTATATGAATATGACGTTGATTTTTATTACAATGGCTTATAACTAATTATATTATTATAACTTTATTTAGTTGCCCATATAAACAAATGACATTGGCTGTACACGTAGGCTACATTACTTGGATGGCCATATATGTATATTGATTTGGCTGTATATGCATATCATATTGACTTTTGTATGTAAATTACTTAAATGTCGTACATATGATATTGGCTGCATATGCGTATTTAGTGGGCGCTATATGTATACGAGTTGGCGGTATATGCGTTTTTATGGCCGTATATGTATATCACGTTACCAACCCCACTTGTGAATTTCACCTCTCCAGATACCTCCAGGAAGTCTCCAGTAGAGAAAACAACTAATTCTCCCACCAGGTATTTAAAAATACCTCGTTAGGTTAACGATCATCTCTGTCGACAAAGGGCGCGGCCGCAGCGCTCTACACGAGATCCCCTATAATTAAAACCGAAGCTTCCGCCATTCAACTCAAAGATCGAGACGCCGGGAATGTATTCATTTAACAGTTTTTCAAAAATGTCGTGTCCCACTTGTCCAACGTGTCCCACTTAGACCAGTGGTTCTCAACCTTTTTCAGTTCGCGGACCGGTAAAATTTCAAAACAAATTTCGCGGATCGGCAGATCTTCAAAATTAACCAAAAATGTCATGAACAAAAAACATAATCAAAAGAATGCAATTACGCCAAAATACAATCCAATTTAATGAAAAATGTGCTGCTGTCTTTTTGATATTATATTTTTCGTTGGCTTTGCGGGTATTATTACGTGGTTTGAAAGAATTTTGGCGCAAACTTGTCACATGGGAAGCTTTCCTTTTTCGCTACTGGGAGCGACAATACTTCCTATCATACCAGATTCATATCAACTTTGCTGCTGCGGACACCAGAACATAGTATGTGTAGCAGGTTAGGGTTAGGGAAAAACTTTATTCCAATTTTCCCTATTTTAGTTCTATTACAAGTTCGACGACCACCCAAGTGACTTCCGTAGTAGTTGTACCTGAAATTATGGCTTACTCCAATCTGGTACACATACTACGTTCTGTTGTCCGCCATCTTGGTTCACATACTTCGGGAGTTTCGATTTTTTTTTTGTAATAAATAGGTTGAAGAAAAATGGATGTAAAAACATGCCAAGCGCTTTCCTTTTTTTAATAAATCCTTCGAACGCCACAACTCTCGATGAAGGCCCATACACGCCTTCTCAAGCTTTAGTTCAAGGCGTCCACAAACGTGGTTGGCGCAAGGAGACGCAACAGATAAGACATTACGTGAACGACCCTGTGACGAGAACCAAAATTGAAATACGACCGAATAAATGAGTTTGTATAACTTTGGAAAACTCTTTCACTTTAACCTTAAGAACATAAAGAGGCATAAATTAACCGAACAGTTTTAACCGTAATAATGCCTTTATTTTATGAGAAAGAAGTCGATACAGAAACTCGAAATCCTTATTATGGGGTCATAACAGATTAGTTTTGACATCATTGCATCAGAGGGGTCTTGCAATTAGCATAGCCTGTCTCGTCGTTTATTAAATCAGGTTGCCGCCGATGTAAGTATAATCTTCATTATCATACCACACTTGTTTTGCCAATGGCTGCCCTTGATTAAATAAGTTTCATGATTTTCTCACTCGAAACGTCTCTCTAGTATCTCGGATAAATATTCCTGTTAAAATCGTTTGACTTTTGGTATAGATACAAACTTGGCAATAGATCTACGCAATAGAAGTGAAGGCCAATACAAGAATTTTTTTTTACATTTTTGAAAATATAATTCCGGCAGCTTATGCGGCTGCCAGAACGCAACGTTCTGGCGTAGTTTCACGGCTATGCGAGGGGTATTTCAATAATGCAAATACAAAAAAAAATTGATTCAAAACAAGCCCTTGTTTTAAAACGGGATGTTTTTTTAGAATTGATAAAAACCAAAACTCTGTGTGCTAGCAAACTCATCCGTTATGACGTTAGCCGCCGTTATGAGGTCATATAGGCTTAACAAACATCCATCCGTTCAGGGTCTAAAATGGGCAGAGGGCGAATACCGGGCAATGGGCGAATACCGGTACTACGAATCATTAGGAGCTCGGAAAAAATCGTAAAAAATAATAGATATGCCGTCAATACTTTGTATTTTGCAATTTGCTTTTAATATATTAATATTAGAAAGATATTTGGCGGACCGGCAGCAACGTTGCCGCGGACCGGCACCGGCGGTTGAGAACCACTGACTTAGACAACTATTTTATGTTGTCAGTCCCCTACAATCCAGATGATAATTGATATTATCGGAATACCGACATTTTGAAATATCGGCGTCCCGTAACCGGATCGGTACAGGTAGCAGCGATAAAAGCACTATCGGTATATCTTAATGCATGTATCGCCATTCAAATTTTCGAATTAGGAAATAGTTTTTATAAATAGTAATTACAATATATACTTTAATTCAATCAGGTGTAGTTCACATATATGCTAATTTTCACAACCCTGGAACAAGTACCGTGTTTCCCCGAAAATAAGACCTAGCCTTAATTTTTTAAATTGATTTCAATATAAGCCCTCTCTATAAAATAAAACATAATCAATAACGCAATTTTTTTTTTTTTGACCTAGTCGATAGCGAGAAATCTCTTCTACACGTTTTAAATGATTGATAATCTATGTTTTGCAGTTATTTTGAATAAAAACGTGTTATTTATGAGTATACATATATATATATATGGGCCATTCCAAGCAAAAGTTGAACTCCATCAATTTTTTAAAAAGTGTGGTGTAAGTAATTTTATTTATTTTTTTTTTGATATCGAAAGACATTGGAAATTTATTGGACTGCATTCATTTCATCGAACGATATAAAATTTCACCCAGGTTTTTGATGGGTTATAAAAAAATGGCCTGAAATGTAGAAATTTTGGTATAATTGACATATTTTGTGATGATTCCTGACACAAAGTGTTTGATTGTGTGGTACCGTTATTTCATATGGAATTGACGCACTGGATTTAAGTTAATAAAGTTTAAATGTTTGCAGTGCTGTAGGACATTTCTTCACCCATTTAACGATTTATTACCAGAATTTTAAGAGATGATAGAGGCTGCTATTCCGAAATGGAAAAATGTTCTGTGGTGACACGTCCTGTAGTGTCACATACAATATGCACATTACTGGCATTGATTTACAGTGTTACATTAAGTAACTTGAGCAACACATAGAGGGGTAGTTCAGCTACTGCACCAGAAAATATTATGGGCTCCCACTGTACCATCGCAAAAATTTACAGCATAACACAACGTACTGTTAGTGCATGGTGGATTTGCCGCCCTGTAGTGTCACGCTATATTTTTTTTTATCTATTAAGTAAGTCTTGGGTGTAACTTTTGTGCAATTTTTTACATATTCAATAAAGCAACTGATTGGACAATGAAACAAAACATGTAGCTGAAAATGTGAAAATATATTGCATCCAACAACATGCAAAATTTCTGGAATTGTCCTGTAGTGTCACTTGGAATAGCCCATATGGGTATCGGTTTTCATATTTTGTACATTTTAAAACCTTGTAATTCTTTACTTTATAATTTTGATAAGTGAAAATATAAGAAATCCCCCGAAAATAAGCACTAGTGGTATTTTTTGGAAGAAAATTGAAATACGACCCAGTCTTATTTTCGAGGAAACACGGTAGGGCACGTAGTAGAGTAAGTTGGACAAGTAGAACACGTGGAACAAGTGGGAAACGACATTTTGAGACACCCTTCGCTCAATAATTAATATTCGAGCGCCAACTTCGCACGATTGTCCATTGGAATCCTCCAGTTATTGGATACCTAGGTGTATATACAACACTATTTTAAACGCATGCATTAAAACTCTGGCTCGGATTTTTCCATTTAGAATAAAATAGGATTTACAATTGTTTACAATCTTTTGTAAAATTATCTTAAATGTTTATTGACTGTTGTACTGTTTCTCTTTAAAATTGCATTTCTATAAATGAGATTTATTCGAAAAGTTTACTCCAAAATTATTCAATCAGATTTTATACATCATTCGATTATTGCATTGCTTGCATAGCTACATTATTATATTTACATGTTGAAAATAACAAGATTGAAATCTTCTTGAATGTCCAATTTTCTCTAAAATGACCTAGCCATACTCTGTCTAGGATTGATATTTGCAATATCAAATGTTTCATTAGATTTTTAATTTATTTTTATTTATTTATTTTTACTCCATGAGGCTGTCCAAAATCGAATAATTGTTTGATTCGAATCGTATAATTTGTTGAAACGAATATCCTCCAAAAATCCTATTTCGATATTGTAATAACGTATTATGCTGTTACATTTAAAATGATACTGATGATATTTTGTATAACTATGTTTCCAGAGTTATCAATGGAGTATGGAAATCACATGCCTCCCTAAAATATGAGTGTTGAAAGTTGAAAATTACAGAGACTCCCAATACCTTATTTACTCAATTCTTATATATTCAGTTTCAATAGGGCATGTGTGGCCTGTATAATATACTCTTTTAACCCTGTTATCACTAGTCTAAATTTGTGCAATTTTTTAATAAACATTAATATAAATAAAACTGTTGCCCAAAAATTTTAAAAATGTAGCTAGTTTGATGATGATAATATCCCTAGATGAACCTATTGTTACTGTACCAGCCATCAGAATGCAAGAGTGCAGTTATTTGTCTTGTTAATAGATGGTTAATACTAAGTATTGCCATCATAAAACCTCCACAATGTGTGCTTCCCGATTACTGACTTGAAATGTTCGAATTGATTTGCATTGATGGAACTATCGTTTTCTATGGATACTAAATTGCTCTTTTTCCCTTATGTACTCTCTCTAAACATATACTGCCAATAATAACTTGTCAGTCATGACCACGCATGATATATACCCTCGGCATTAGGAGAGACACCCTTTTTCATCGCAATATGAAGGCTAGAGAAATATCGGGTCGTGAGGATATTTCCGCTTTATGTAGATAATATTGGCCGAAAACAATTCGAATCGTTTTTGATCCGATTTCGAATATTCAGTTCGCTGGACATCACGAACTCCATGTAATTAGGTACATTTTTTAGTATGCCTTCCGAAATCTAATTCATTTCTTTCTCTCTGTGTACCCTTCATCCTTACTAGATTAGGAATAAATGTCAACAGATACACTCTGGATTGAAATAAAGGGCATTTATTTATTTATTAAAAGTGATTATTTGTTCAGCAAACTGTAAGGTACTATTTATAAAGAATGATATAATAAGCAATTTCATTATAAGCACTATGAATATAATATTGTAATCAAATAGTCACATTATCAAGTTTTCCATCTTTGTATCATATTGTTCTTGCCGTTGCATGTCTTAATAGTGAAAATTTTCTGCCATGTATATTTCAAGCAAAGTGATTTGTACATGTTGTCATTTGAAGCCCAATTGAATTTAATGTATCTTGGCAAAGTATGAAATCATCCGAGACTGGACTGGAGAATTTGCTTCATGATTAATTTTCAAGGTCCTCGATCTTCCCCTAATCATACATGTATAAACTGTTATATCACTCCAATTATCGCTTATTTCAAGCCTCAGGCAGTTACCGTATCCACTGGTATGTTCTGGCTTCTATCTTTCAGTAGAAATTTTTGATGTGACGAACAATATTCAACCAGCTTAATACATAAGTATCGTATTTATTAGATAGTCTCCTACATTGCATGCAAAACAAAAAAATGTTATGAAATGGACCTACTAGGAGTCAAACCCCACCCCTAAAAGCTGAAAATGCCATTGATCAAACCATCTTATAGCCTAATCTCAAAAATATTCTGTAAGAGTTCTGGTCAACTCTCCAATGAGTATCTTTTTTATTTTATTTCTTATTTATATACATTTAACTGTGAATCCTAATAGTGAACTTGGGGGGAGCTGACTCCGATGACCTTATGGTCGTATCGCTCCCCCCAGTCTATACCGAATTAACTTTGTGTATATTGTATATATTATTTTGTATACCATTGTTTGTTTACGGTTGACAAAACAATAAATCTCTCTCTCTCTCTCTCTACAAATTTATCCAGAGGAAAGTCGATAACACGGCTTCGGTTACCAGTCCACGATGCGCCACTACGCAGAACATCGGGATTCTTCAATTATTAAATACCTATGTGGTTATACAACACTGCTTTGAACGCTTGTGATAAAAAATCTCGCTGGGTTTTTCCATTTGACAAATCAAATTCGCGCGCCCACTACGCGTAGCATATTGATCGACCATTAGAGTTCTTCAAATTATTGGACACCTAAGTGGTGATACAACACTATTTTAAACGCATGTATTAGGAAAGACTTCGTCAACCAAGAAAGGTGGGGTTTTAAAATTTTGCACACTGAAACTGAAGATACTCAGAAATCACGCCATGTAAAGTAGCGAACTTCGACTCGAAATATAAACATACGACGTCTGTCCAATCAGTAAGACTGCGAGGCAAACGATTACAAGTCCATTAAATAAATGAGACTTAATATAATTCCTTCTTCAAAGTGACTAAGCACAGTTTTAGCAACGATCTATGGAAATCCATTAATTCCTTTGCAACTACGAATGCCTTCAGGTAGCAAAAGACTGATTCCAATCCATCAGCTCCACCTTTCCCATCGAAATACAAGTTAAATCCATTTTAAGTTTAGACAGGGGAGAAGTTAATTGGGGGCGCCAATTGAAAAACATTGAACAAGCATAACAGTACGTCAAACAAATAACCTCCAACCGGAATTGGGTTTCTTAATACAAATTGTGCATACAAAATTGTCACCATAAGATGTGTGATATTACATGGATATTTCCAACGCTTAGCCCGTCGCGCTAACCCAAAAGCACATCAAGTCGAACTATGAAATGTATAGTTGGCTACAGACCTGAATTGAAAGTTTGGTTACTTAGACAGGATTGGCATCAAACACACCATGAAACAACACGCAAATTCAGTGGTACAATTTAATAGAATAAGAACAAACGAAATGCGCAACGTCAAATGTATTAAAAAACTAAAAAAAATAATATTTAAGTAGATTATGGGTGAAAAATTAACGCAGGCAATTTTGCACCAACATTCTATTATATTTTAATATAAGGGAGTGATTTCATCAACCAAATAACACCCACAATGTTATTTCATCATATCAAGAGCTATAGTAGACTATAATCAGAATTACACTGTAAACTGAAAGGTGCAACCAAACACTGACAAAGTTCAAGTTCTGTCCAATATTACACAACCAAGCCACAAAAACTTAACTAAATATCAATTTCATGTAGCTACTAGAATTACTGCATTACATGCATAATACAACAACCACCTTCTTTGCATCAGTCACATTTACCATGCACACCACATAATTAATAGGGCTGAAACTTCTCTCTTTTGGTCTTTCTCTTATCTTTCCCATTTGGTGATGACTCTCCAGGTGGTGATACTTCTCCCTCCTCCTCTTCTTCAGCCTTTAGAGAACTGGACTCTCCTTCTTTGTTTCGACGATTATAGTTATGCCTTGGTCGATTTGAAAATCCTGTATATCTCGAGCGTGACATAAAAGCGCGTCTTGCATTTTGCATCGCCGCGCTAAATGAGGCACCAGGGCCCATTATACCAACGTGTCCAGGATAAGGACCAACTATACCAGCTCCAAATGGACCACCAAATGGTATACGAGGTGCCATATATGCACTGCCAAATGAAGATGGACCAAACAGTTGTGAAATGGGAATGGGCTTCGAAGCTGGACGAGTGGGAACAGACATCAGAGGTTGAGGGTTGGTAGTAGAGGTTGAGGACTCTCCATCTTCAGAAGCACTTGTGGTAGCAGTGGAATTAGTTGTATCAGAAGATGACTTGGATGGTTTCTGGTTGGCAAAAAGCTGGATACTATACGTTTGTCAAGGGTTGTGAGTGGTGACGGTTTAGTTTTGAGGTTTTGAGTATGGTACATGTAGAGGTTGACATCATGTTGAGAAAGGATCAAGTTGGTTGGTCATGAGTAGGCAAATGCAAGAAGATGGTACCGGGAAAGAAAAATTTGGTTAAAGAGGGAAATAGAAGGGCATAGTTATATATGAATTACTATTTACTCATATTTAGAGAAGAAAAAACAAACAATATTTTATCATGATAACTTCTGAAAATATTCACAACAGTTCTAGGTTATAAAACATAGGGTAGCAAGTGATATTTGCATGATAGTATTTCTGCGAGGCAGGGAAGTATGGATAAACAGGATTGGAAGAGGCGGTTCCGAACTTCATATTGAATAAGTATGGAACAAAGAGTAGCATACCAAAATATCATAGGAAAAGATTTAGGATATATTCATGAAAACCTGAAAATGAAAACAACAGTGTGTTGTTACTTATGTTAATACAACCAAACCTGGTATTTATCAGATACTGAGCCAAACTTATCGATTCCGGAGTACCAGTGATGGTAATTTTACGATCTGCTTTACTCTCCTTATCAAGTGAGCGATTGATTGAAATCTGTGCACCAGACATTAGTCTGATTTCGTTAATTCTTGTTCCACCTCGACCGATGATGCATCCAATTGTCTGTAAATAATATTTAACAGGTTACATGTAACTCAAAAATAATAGAAAATTCCATAACCCACTTTTACAACGGACAACAATGAGATGAATAAATCTTACATCATTTGAAACAGTGATCTCTTGCGTGTCTGCATCCAATACTTTTGTGGGCAGGTTAACCGATCCAGAAACACCTGCATCTACCTCACCATGCCCTGAACCTTTGGAAGGAGTAGCAAATGACGTAAAATTCCCCATCAAACTCGAACCTGGTTTATCTTCAGTGTATGAATGCATTGCAGCTATCTGATGCAACTTGGTTATCTGTGTTAAAAGGTAGAAAGTTGATTATGTTCATCATTTCAGAATCACCACAAATGAGAAATATGCTAATATTACAATCTGATCATAAGACATAGTTTCGCCTTTGATTTTTATTCTAGAATTAAACTATTTGCTGGAAAATATACAAATTGAGAAATGAAATAATTACATCTGGATTCGGAATAGCATATTGTCCTTGTAACATGTAAGCTTGGCCTTGATGAAAAACAACAGATTCATATCCCATGTTGGGTTTGTATGGTACAGTTGCAGTCTTGGCAGGAAACTAAAAAATGTATGGTTGGTTACAAAACTTTGCATAAATTCTAAAAGAGATCTTGAGAGTGTTTATGCATTATTGAACTTTATGAACAACAAAAAACTGCTATTGCATATTGGCTCAAAAATTCACAGGGGATAGAATATACAGAATCCATATTTTAATGTTTTATTCTCGAGCACTCATAAAGGATACCGAACGAAGTAAAAGAATTCTCACTTGAATCATTTGTTCACATAATAGATCAACACATTTGACAATAGCAGAAGGTGTTCCATTCAAAGTTACAGGTCTTTCTGTTGATCCAGGTAACATTTCACCACCAACTTTAATTGCACAAGCAGATGTCTATAAATGGCACAGCTTTAGGTAAGTTTAACAATGGTATAGAGCAGTGTTTCCCAGACATGAAGACACAGACTCTAATGAGTCCGCAAAGGCCATGGTGAGTCCGTAGACGTACTGGCTACATTGAGCATTTTTTACGAAGAGAAACATGACAATAAGCATAAACAACAAAATTAACAAAAATATTGACAATAATACTAGCATTTCTCGTGATTTATATTGTATTACTTTCACAAAACCGCCGGTTGTTTCGTGACAATTGGCTATTCTTACGCGCTGCTGCTATTGTGTCATAACACACATTCATGGCAAAATAAAAGTGTTTGCGTATAAAACAAGTACACAAGGATTTGGTTTACTTGACAGTGTATTGAGAAATCTTAATTCACAACTCTTTGAAAAAAGCCAAAGTGTGGTGTCATCTTGAGACGAACTGCTTTAGTGAAATTAGTAACAATTTCAAATACTCCATTCGATAGTATTGCATCATCATTACATAATGCTATTAACTATTGCACTGCCAAGTGCCAAGCACTCTTCATTATTAGAGGAAGGTGTCGCCGCCCAGTCACAATTTTCGATTCATACAATTATTTTTTATTAATATTATTCTAATGGATATCTCGACCTTATAATAATTACTGACACTTTGTGCAAATAGGAAATAAAATTGACGTCAAGAACAAATGTTTTTAAAGTACAGTAAAACCTTGGTAGTCGAACGACTTGATACTCGAACAATATCGTAGTGGACCAAAAAAATCTGAGGCAAAAATGCTGCGGTACTCGAACACCCAAGCGCTGCCAAGTGAAATGATGTCCCCCCAACCGCGAATCTCGCCTCCCTCTTGACCATTCAATAACAGTTTCATTTCAAGTATTAAATGAGTTTTGGATGAAAGTTCAAAATTTCATTTTTAGACTCAAGGATAGGAATATATATATCATATTGTGAACACGGCCTGTTGTAGCACTTCAATGTTGGGTTGATTGTACCATTTTAGACTTACTTCACGAATTTCTTTTATTTTAGATCCCGCTTTACCAATAATGGATCCACACTGGCTGGCAGGAACAATGAGAACAAGTGTAACTGGTACTCTGTCGGGAACAGAGCTGGAGACATTCGAATTGGTATCCTGCAAAAATACAATCATAGTTGCATGGAACAAGAACTGATATCATCAACAATGAAAACTTTTCCCAATTTGACTGCGGCTCATAACCAATGATTTTAGGCTCATATATACATGCAAACATTCATCCAATGTGACAAGTATATAAACTATAACTGACATGATTGAAGCAAAATATTTGTAGCCCAGAAATATGCATGACCATATTTGTGTATTTTCTCAACTTGCAGAAGGTAATCAACAACACACATGGTACAAAACTTGAATTTCTCTTCATGTGAAATGTCTGAAAAATCAGCCATGTGTATATATTGAATTATTATTTGCCCCCCCTGTGTACTCAACATGTTGAAAATTATTTTGATCCAGATCAACAACCGATGGTTCATTTCAACTTCTCATGCAAATTGAAAAATATTCAGTTGGTTATGCTACGCCCTAAGTCTCTTAAGGTGAAGTGAAAAACAGAATGGCTTCACCTCTTCTATCTTCTGTGTGATGAGTCTGAAAGCTTCTCTAATTTGTGACTGCTCTCCAGTGACGGTGACAATTCGTTCTGGAGTTCCACTTGATGTAGATACATTTATCTTGGCTCCACTTTTTTGTCGGAAACTCGCTATCGTCGCTCCTCCCTATAACCAATTTTAGACATGTAAGTATTTATACCAAACAAAGTTTACCAGTGAGAAAATAATACTGGCGCTCTAATCAATTTTGGATTCAAAATCGACTTAAGTAACTAAATGATACCATAAATTATGCTTCGATATGTGTATTAGTGATGAATAAAGCTTATATTCAAAATGTAAATTCCTGATTGTAACGATATAAATTCATAATAAACTTTACATTGATAAAAACTGATGCTAAAAACAAAAAAATGTTATGAAGACAGCAATGTTTATTTTAAAACACCCCTCATTTCTTTTGTCACATTCTGATTAATCAATTTTGAGACAAAAATGTATAAATATTGAGTATTCAAGGTTTAGTTTGTTTAAAAAATATAAAACCAACAACAATCACCTTTCCAATAATTGCACCAATCTCCTTCCCCACCATGAGCATCCTAATTGTTATTATTACATCTGGCATTATGCAGAATTGTTTCAACTCTGTCTCCTGTTTGATGGTGTAAGAAATACAAAGTCAGAAAGTAGATGTGGACAACAAGCAGACAAATGATTCCCCAGAATTATGGTTGAATTTTGGGCAAACTACTCAATTCAACAATTGGGATATGGAAGAGATAATGGGGTCCAGTACTGTATAATTTGATAGAACATTTATTAGCAACAAAACAAGTTTGCTCAAACTGCCTCTTAATTAACCCATTACTTGATTACTGACCAATCTGACAATACTCCACTTACTGCACCGTAAAACTGTGCATTATATAACAAAAGAAATGCAAAAAGATTTACGGTACACCCTTATATCAATAACAGATGGTCATACAAAAAAAAACCGAAAGATTACTCAATACCACAGTATGCAATGCAGATAACAACATACACGCATACAAAAATTTCTCCGCTGCCAATAAACTCGGTCCTGTCTGTCTGTGAACGCATTCTAAATGAAATCGCCACAAAAATTGTATTTTTTTATGTCTCATTTAATTTGGTAATTTGAATATGTAATTGTACCCGGAGTGAATGTTTCAACATTTATTTAACATGTATTCATTTATTAACATTTAGGTCTGAGGTCTGTCTACTTTCAGTCGTAAGTATTGAATACTAAACAGCTTTCGCAGACTGCGGACTGGGGTCAATTGTCACTCAGGAGATAGGACGCACGATATTTGCACGATCCGGCACGATATTTGGTAAAAAAAATTAATCGTTTTAGGATCAGTTATTTCTTAAGATGAATTAGTATAGCTATATATCGTTGTTTCATAATCTTAATCAAATAATAAAGGTATTATTGTGGCAAAAAATTCTTCCATACATTTATATTAGTATATCTTGTTAGGTTATAGAGATAGACTGGTATTTTGTTAACAAAAATATTTGCGACCTGAAATATAAAATCGATTAAAGAAATGCCAGTTTAACCTTTTTGAACAGGTGAAATTCTTAAACAAGCTTTTAAAATTCAAACATGACTAAAAAATTAATAACAGTTCAAAATTGAATATAGATCCGCTTATTACTCGAGGCCACTAGCTGGGCTTCAGCCTACCTTGCCTAATTCTGTAATTGTAAATGTTTCGGCAAAGTGCCATACTAACCTATGGCTTACAGACATTTTGGCCAATACAAGTACGATTGTCAGAGTGTGGAGATAAGTTTATCAACAATCCTGCAATGCAGGTGCAACATAACAGTGGCTTCCGCGGAAACCCTTGGGTCGCTTGAAAGACCTTCTTGTCTGAGCCGAGCCGAATTCTTGTTTCTCATTTTTTTCTGATTGGCAAATTCCAAAGTAGTAATCAAAACTAAAAATCACGTATTTTGTGTATATTTGTGATAATAAGGATCAACAGCGCGAAGTCTGAAGTTCCAGGATATCTTTTGAGGTTTTATAACAATATAATAGGAACTTATCGAGTCATCTACTGAAAAATTTTGATTCTTCTATTTTATTAAATAGAGACGAGAGAAGCCTAGAAATATCTCGTTACAGTCATCCATGAGGAAGTGAAGATCAAAATAAAATTGAATTGATTGTGAGAGCTTTGCCAGCCGTACTGACTTTGCCGATGAAAATTGGTATCGTAATCGAATATGAAAATTTCGGTCAGTAAAAAACTCGTGACCTAAGGTTAAATCATTATGCGTTCATTTCGATTCCAGAAGTTTAAATGAGCAACTCCGTGAAATACGACTTCATAATACTGGCCCTTGCAATTTTTGCAAGGTTCCAGAGACCGTATAATATTTTCTAATGAACTGCCATGCCTATAGCAATGGAAGGCAAATACTTAAGCTCAAATGTTGCGATTATGACATTGATCTTCGAACCAAATCTATTTTAAGCAACTCTCGCATTTTCCTTCCACTATATATATATGTGAGGCCACCAGTATAATAATATAGCCTTATTAAAAAATGGTATTAAATTATCTGGCGCAAGACTTAAATTATTCAAAGCGCTATATATATATATATATATTCATATTACACACATCATAGCCTGTTCGTGTCCAACGGGTTTTGGAGAGAACGAACGGGTGGTATTTCAAACTAATACAGTTAACGTACAGTAAAGCGGGAAGTATCCACTGCAGCGAACATCAAATATCCACTGAAAAATTTCAAAATGAACGCTAGTACTTGAATCAGGGTTTATTATAGACATTCTAAATGCCCCAAACAGCGTAGTGTAGGCTAGTCTATGCTTTACAGTGCACAGTAAAACACGAAACACATAACGTTAACGTTGTTATGTATATGTGTGTTTGGTGTTGAATTGTCTATATTTATATATATTGTCTTGTCTTATAAACTCCCCTGTATAAACAGTTTTGTATACTCCTCCCTTACCACTTTCACCACATCAACTCGCCCCACCTTGCACAACTGTCTATATGAGGGACCATATTATACATATTTAATCCAATGTTTTTTGTTTTATATTTGTCAAAAGGGGTGCATGCTGCACATTGTGCTAACTTGACTTTCTGTGTGCAACTCCCCACAAAATTTACCAAAAACTTTAGGCGCCTTTATGGTTAGTTATTAGCCTGAATGGGAAAATTTTTCAACACCTTGATAGCGTTAGTCACAGGCAGATTTAAAATTTTGCCCGTTTTCCTTGTTTTCAGTGGCCGTATATGATTATGATAAACTTACCTTGAAAAATCGGTCATAGTTATACTGATTCAAAACCAGGTTATCACCCACTGTTACGGGAACATTCATCTTCGCAGGGCGTTTCGGGCTTTGAAGCTGTACGAAGTGTCAGCCGACAGTTTCCACTGCCCGAAGTTATCAGTGGACAACGACATTCAAAGGGATATTATGATGTCATAAACGTAGCCTTAGTAAACAGACCTCCAGTCAGGGCGAGCAATGAAGTCAAGTTTCACATCCTCCAAACACTTGCTACCGACCAACACCGAAGTCTAGTACAGTGATTTCAACCTTTTTTGTACCGCGGAACACTTTTTTTTCATCTTAAATTGTGGCGAATATTTATCTTGGAAATGACCTTTATTTTGCTATCAACTGACATCAAACATTTTGACATGAAAGTAAAATAACGAAATTAATAAAAGCTCGTCAACTTTAGCTAAAAAAAAAACGTGGCACATTCCAATATAGAGCTACAAGAGCTAAAGCACAGTACTGTACAAATAAATGTTTTTGCTTATGATTAGATTAAAATAGAAATTGTATTTTAATGTGATATCTGGGTCTGTTTCGATGAGCACAAATATTTTATTCTGGCTGAAATTGAAGATAGACAAACACGCAGCTCTTTCTCAACGACTCAATTTCTCACGTTTTTTTAACTTTTATGGCGGCCTTGCTCGAAAAGCTCATTTCGCAAAGATAGGTCGTGGAAAATGGTAGCAAGATTGAAAGCTCGTTTTTGGAAAGCATTGGAAATTCCTTGGAGACATCAATCCAGAATGTTTCCAGAAGTACATCCGGGAATTTTAATCTCAACCCGCGGTCAACTGTAAGGATCTCTGATCCGATCAAAGCTCTCTGTGGGGGTGGAGAAAAAATAAAAGCATAATTTCTCCTCGAGAGTTTTTAGGTGAGTTGTTATGGCCTCGCATAGAGCAACCCTATTATCAGTTCCTTGGTAACAACGGAAACATGTCAAGCTTGTCATATTTCACAAATTTTTGCCAGAGCTAAACTTTTGAATGAAATTCATATATTTTGTCTGTGCTTGTAAGTAGATTTTCATCTCGCCCTTGCATTCGCGTGTTCAGCTTGTTCAAATGTTGAAATATGTCAGCCACGTACGCTAATCTTGCACATCACTCATCATTTGCCAGCAGCTCAACACCCCCAAACTTTTCATCGGTCAAAAACACTTTCATTTCATTTTGTAATTCACAAACGCGAGCTGACACTTTTCCACGAGACGACCATCTGACTTCGGTATGAAGCAACAATGTGGTGTATTCTGCGCCCATTTCTTGGCATAAACATGCAAGGATATAATTAATCATGCTCACCACGGAATTTATTATGGAAGCTAATTCTGCAGGCAACGTCTTTTCGACTAGCGCCTCTCGATGTAAAATGCAGTGAGTAACTATAACATCAGGATTTTTTTCTTTTATTAAACTCTATCAACAAAGCCTTTGTAGGTTCCCACCATGGCAGCTGCTCCGTCTGTACAAATACCCTAACAGCTTTTCCATTCCAATCCGCCGTTTACAAGATAATTTGATGCAACCCGGAAATTTTTCTTTTCCAGTCATTCTTTTGGGCAAAGTCTTGCAATAGAAAAAGTTTTCTCTGATGTTTTGTCCATCGAAAAATTGAACATTTGCCAGTAGTTGAGCATGTCTACTGATATCTGTTGAATCGTCAATTTGTAGCGCAAATTTCTCGCTGGTGCGTAATTTATCTAACACTATTGCTTCGATGTCGGCAGACATGTCTTCCGCCTGTCAACTATGTTGTCTGAAAGGGGAATCTTTTCTATTTAATTTTCCCAAGATAGGATCATGCATCTCAATAATATTGATCTTACAAGCTGGTAGAATTAACTCTTCTGCAACAGTATGTGGATATTTTTACTTGGCTATCAATTCAGCTACAAGATAGCTGTTTATTACTGATCGATTTTAATCGTTACTTATCGATTTTATTACTTATCGATTTTAATCGTTAAGTATGTTGATATGTATTTGTCTGTATGTCTGTCTGTTAGATGCACGCGATATCTCACTAAAGCAAGACTGAATCTGCTCCAGATTTTGCATGTGCATTCATCATGTCTCGGACCAGAAGCCTATTGATTGATTAATTAACGACTGGACACGCGGTGTCGCTATTGTGTCAGAGCGAAGGAATCGAAACCGCAGTTTCTGTTTCGGCGGATCGCCTAACTTTCCTCGCTGCAAACCAAAGACCGATAAGTCGGCGGTCTCCAATCACTATCTAGTCTTGATATTCAATGAGATGTCACACTTGTATTTGATACTAGTTTTCGTTCATACCTGATAGATGCCTCCCGCTTACCAACAAATTCATCTACTGGTATCTCTATGACAGAAATAAAATGTATCCGTAGCTTTGCCACTCGATGCTGATATGAACGAATTTTTTATTTCAGTTTGGGGTTAACGGCATTGGCTTAAGTTTCAATAGATAGCCAAAGTGTGAAATGGCTCAAAAGAATTTTGGTTGTTTACTAGAAACATAGTTTATAAATTACTCGCTCTTGGCAGAGTAAGTATTTTTAAAGGGTACGTAAACATATATTGTAAATTTTGGGGCAAGGTCTGCCTGCCTATGTTTTGAAACTCAGAATACATTTAACCATGTATGGCATTGGTTCTTAACCTTTACTAGCCTGTCGAACCCCTATGCTATTCTGCAAGCTCCCTTAATATAATGACTTAATATAATGACATGATGACTCAAAAACGTTGGTAGCTCAACTCATTCGTTTCTCAAATTTCAAAATGCATTCCAATGCGAATAAAAACGTTTGACCATTAATTTACAGAAATAGAGATACCGTCTGACTCGCCATAAGGTGTCAGTCACAAAAATAGTCAGCTCAAAATCCAACGTTTGTCATAACAACCTGAGATATTTCGTACCCATAATCAAAAAGCATCTAAAAGCGCTTGAAGTACATCCGCGCTTGAAGCGCTTGAAGTACATCCAAGAGTACGGAATTGCGACGATACGAGTTTTTCAAGAAATGTTCTAAAATCTAAGGTCATTCACAGGTCCACTAAAACTTATATCTGCGCTAAGCTATTCACAGCTAATCTATTTTATGAGTTGTTTAGACGTGTAAGATTGTCTATCTGCTACGAAATATTGTTATTTTTGTATAATTAGTGAGCTGGGTAACAAGGAGGTTTCATGATACACAACTGTTTTAGAGCAGGGTTTCCCAAACTTTTTGAGCCGTGGACCCCTGTTTGTGAATCTTAGTTTAAAGGGACCGCCATACTATGTCCTATTAACATGTGTGCCTAACCAACACGGAAGAATAATGTTTCCTATACAACACAAACGACATTAATGGGATGGACGACGTTACTCTTCTCTGCCCGATTTATCAATTCTTGCAGTACATTGTGACAAGAAAACTCGTAGGTCCGACTCTACGACAAGTCCAAATCTCGACCTGTCTATAGCTGGAAATGCCGCCTCACACAGGTATGTAAGTCGTTGCAAAAGGCAATACAACTTTATATGGCCTTTTCTGAAAGAAATCGAATTCCAAGAACATCTCTACCCAACCCCGAGAGTTTGATCGAGCGTAGGTTAGTTAGTTAAGAAAGACTGATCTTTATGGCATATTTGACGTCAACTGAATGAAGTTGTTTCAGAAGGGTTTGAAAAGTGCATCTCTTGCTTTTTGATTATTACATACCAACCACTTATAATGGATACTTATTTACTCCAAGCGATCCCCTAAAAAATTTATCAATAAATTCGTAAATTAGAAGTGATTAACTCGAATATTGTGACGTCACAAAATAAAAACATGTTGTTGAGTCCTTGCCAACAACATGTTTTCCCTATTACACAACTCGTCTTTTTGAGAATGTTTGATGAGTTCTCTAGTCTCTTCTTATAGATCCATTGAAGCACATGTTGCAATATGGTGAAAATAGGACGACCCGTGAAAAATTATGGCCTTACAAAAGTTCAGGCACGCAAATTGGCAAAAGATGGTGGAAGTATACAAAAACATCTCAACAAAATTTTGATGGAAGACAAGAAATCGAAAAACGAGGAATCAATCGGTAGAAATTCAGAATTTCTAATGGTAAATTGGTTGATATATTCTAGAAAATTATGAATCTTTCCCAGAAATTTGTTTTTTTACGCTCCTCATGTTATTTATAGTAACTAATTGCCTTTCCAAGAAATCTGAAACACTAGCGCGAATTAATAAAGATATTAAATGAGTTTAAGGGACATCAACATCACAAGAGTCTCGTTTAGTGAACCATACTTGTGGCCAGGCGAGTTGATCGAGTTCCTGCTTCGCTTAGGCCACGTGTAGTCGGAATGTATCATTTGTAGACGCTTTTGGACTGATTATTAAATCAAAGTCGATTACAGTATACAATAAGTTTTCTAAGATCGTGATATTGAAAATATCCGACTTTATGTGCCAGTGGAGAGAGTATAGAATTCGGTCACATTATGCAGAAAATATACACTCCAATAAATGTATAGTACGCGGGACCGCGTCAAGTCCATTCTTTGTATTGCGGTACTTGAATCTAAATCTATTATAAATAACAAAATATGCAGCTGTTTTGAAATTTAATATCGATAGTATTGGTAGATTTTATGCTACTGTTTAGTGATTATTCTAACTTGCGGAATCCCCGTTTGTTGTCACACATGTTTTTCGGTGCCATAGCAGATTTTACCATGATCAATTGAACATCAGGACATGTAAATTATATACGTGTTAGTCACTAATATCTAATGGAGCTCATAAAATTTGAAATTTCATACTAGCATGTATCGTCTTTTACATTATTGTTGGTGTGTATTAAATTTAGGACAATCATGGCGATAGTTGTCGCGCCCTTGCGATACGTCCACGAGAAGAAATTGGCCAGGGAGAACCATGCGGCGTTTTGATGACTCAAACAGCTTCGCCAAAGACTATTACAGGAACGGAGGTTGTACCGGCAAAATCAACGTGCGGAGGAAATCTTCCTGCTCCCAAATATTCTTCAGCAATCTCATATCCCGACCTTCTTGAACGAGCGATTGCGGAAGCAGAGATTGTTGTTGGAAAGTGAGGGCATTTTATCTTCTATCAAAAACTTAAAAATACAGATTGGTGATAAATTTTAGAATATAATATAATAAGAGCCATGTTTGTATTGTATATATTCACTATGGAGATGCTACATGCGCCCAGACCTTCGTACTACGAACGGGTTCTTGGCGAAGAATTTTAAAACTATGTTGAAGCCGCTTTTCTGAAATTGAAGCTCACATTCTGATTACTGCATTTTTTAGCCCTATAAAAATTGAATTGTCACTATTCAGTATCCAGTTACCAATTTTTTTTGTAACTTACCTAGTAACTCTTGCCAACTCTTTTAGACTTTACAATTCGACTCATAAATTCTATTCTGTAGTCACGATTTACTTTTTATTTGGGTCTTAAAGTCTATGATAAATTATATTATGATAAATTTTAGATGCAAAATTGAAGTTTTCTTAATCAACGTTTTCTGTACATTACAGATGGATACTTGTTACAAGCAAACAAAAATATCCTGCGTCGAATAAAAGTAGCATGGCATCTGTTGCCAATGCACTGAAGGTAAATTTACAATTTTAGGATAAAAAGTTGCTTTTACAAATTTGGAGATAATTCTACAATGCAACATGATTTAAATTCATTAAAAGAAAATCATCAATTCGTTCATTAATCTGGACATGGTTTACAAATTATCAATTATTTCTTACTTACATGTTATATATAATGTGGAGCCAATATTTGGTCTATGAACGCATTTTCACTCAGTGATATTTTCGCTTTTAAATCCGAGAGATAGTTGATTCCCGAACTAGACGTTTGGCCGATGGCCCTGGCCCTAGGGTGGTGCCAGAGTGAAACTATTACTTATGTGTTCTGTTGTGTCCCATTAGTCTTATTTAGAAAGTTGTCGAGATAATTATCATAATTTTATTTATTTGTAACGACTTTGCTTATTTCGATAAGTTTCACCTGCAGGAAGCTCTAGAGTCGACGAGAAACATCAGATATACTGAGCTTCAACTCATCATGGCAAAAAAGAAATCCAAAAGAGGTAAACTGCATGTAAACTCAGTATAACCCAGTAGTATGATAATCAATAGTATCGTTATTAGAAAAAAACTCTAACCTGGAGAAAATCTCAAACTGTGTGAACAACAACACGTAGATCGTGGATGAAAGAATTCGTCTTTCTCTAAAATGTTATAACCAATTATGAGCTAGGTTTACTAAATTTGATTTTATTATGTTACTCTTTCAAAAACCAATTATGGAATCAAAATTATATTCAACGCCGGTGAAGTAAGACATGTGATAACTCCAGTTATACCCGTATATCAATCTTTTGTCAGAAGTTCTAAAACCTCTTTTGGTTCAAAATGTTGAAACTCATGCTAAACCGAATATTTCAGGTTTCAAGAGTCCTAACAACCTCGGCCTGTCTTTCGTTCGACATACAGTGGATACAAATCCAGAATTAATGGTTCGAATGACACACGCCATTATATACGCAACTAATAGATTGAAACAGGAACTTCATTGGGTTTCAAATGGAAGAGTTTGCAACAAAAATACAACAAAATGTGATTTTCTCCCCATACCACCTTTAGTATTAGGTGGGTTCAAATTGGCAGTTTACTTGCTATTTGTAATGTATACTTTGAGCGCTTGTTGTGAAACTTTTGATCCAATGACTCTCTGTGGATTCTTTATAATGCCTGTTATATTATAGATTCTTGCTCTATTCACTCTAATATACAGAAGTCGAATCCGTTGTTTTCAATCAAAATTTTCTACTCATACTGTATATATATATATATTTCCAAGTGCTTTAATAGTTTTAACATTTGAATGAACCGCTCCGACGGACTGCAATAAAAGTATATTTAAATTTGTTCTTTTATGTATATCTGGTCGGTAAATGTCAGTTGTCTACCTCAGAAATATCAGAATAACCGAAGTAAATATTTAGTATGCGTCACTCGCAATCATTGACCAGAAAACCTTGACAAATACATTCGGATTTTGCGACTATGGCCGCCAATGCCCCATGAACAGTTTTTGAAATCAGTTTGATTCTTTACTTTTAATGAATCGTGGTTGAAGAGAGGTTAATAGAATGGTAATAAACTGTTGAAGTCAGCCTGAATAACGGAAATTTTATGAATGAATTCCCCCCAGACATTCTAGAGAATCCTAATGCCACGTCTCAATGTAATTACGTACCGGTTTTGTTCTCGAGATTATGTCAGCATTCCTTTGACTCCCCGTAACCTAAATTTATATTCATTTGCTTTATTTCTTTCTCATTGCCATAGACCTCCGGTTGGCGAGAAGCGCCATATCAACGAACTTGAAATCGACAGCTATCAAAGTTGACATATCAATTGTCCAAAGAGAATGTATTGCGTCTACCGAGTTGAAATTGCCAGGCATCTCTTCTGCGGTGTTGGAGTTCGATGTCAAGGCGATTGATGACGAATCCCCAAGAGAAAGATTGCAACGAAAAATGTCTGAGCACGGATTTGATCAGAAAGAGGGTAATAAGTCAAAAAACACGGAAAACTTGACAGTGATAGTGGCTTCCGTTTTGCAAGCTATACAGAAAAAGAGTCGACGAGAGTAAGCTATGATACTCTAATTGTTATCAACATTTATTTCGTGTTTTGACATTTTGTTTTGTTGTAATGCCAATGGTGAAGCCGAGTAAGCAACAAAAAAGAAGGTCCAATATCTTAAATATTCTGATAGTCCCCGACACATTTGTTTACTGCTAGAGTTTTATAAGACGAACAAAACTAAACGAATTCGGGTTTTCGAACTGAAATTGTTGCTTATGGCTATTCCTGTATCTAAACAAATATTTATTGCTTCCTGGGATTCTCATTTTTATTTCCATCTGAAACTAGAATGTATGAGGTTATGCCAAGGACCGAGAGACGCACAGCCATGCGACACGATTTGATAGTCAGATTACGCCCGAACTTTCTTCTACCAAAGTTAATACGCCATATTCACACCGGGCTACCGCTACACATTGCTGGTATACCACGTGATATGGAAGATTTGATTATGACATCAGTTGCTCTGAATGGAAAACAACATGTTTTACTTTTTGTCAAGGTAGGTACTTTCTAGATTGTTTGTAAAGGGTAATACAATAAAAGAATCGAGATTGCTGACAATTTTGACCATGTCGCAGAATGTTGCTGCGGAGTTTTTAGGTTCAGATTTGGAAGCATTTCGTGCTCGACAACAATATTATTTTATGTGGTCTTGCCTGTTCAACAAAACAAGAGCGAAGTTGTTTAATACCTGGCTTAGGTTTACACTGATGTGAGTACAATTTTCATTTCTTTTTTTTGTAATTTTTATTGGATATATTGAAGCATAATATCAGATAATGGGAAATGTTGTTCTTTGCAATTATTTTAAAAAATATTTCAAAGTTTGAGCCAAAAAATAAATCATTTATTTTTCTCTTCATTACACGCAGATTTAGCAGCGGATCTGATCAAATTGATTCAGTCATCTTGCGGGCTCGGGAAGACTGTCGTTGTACGGTAGAACGAATACTAAATAAATTTCAATTGCTGATACGTAGAAATAAACCTGACAAGAATCGATCTGATGTGGTCAAAATTTTACAACGGTAAGGTTAAACGTTGACAATGTCTGTTGCCTTTCTAGCCTTATTCTCATGCAGTTTGCCTCTCGGCCTGCCCACTATTTCTGACTGGAATTATCAAGAAGGAGACGGGTAATAAAATCGTACTTAACTATTTTATTCTGGTTTTCAGCAATTCCCCGAAAGCTACATTATTTTCTATGTGTGTTATATATAAAAGTTTAATTTCCTGCACTCGCACCTGTAATACTTTAAGAGCTAAACTATCGGATCAGGTGCGTACAAATTTATCCTGCATAAGTGTGGCAATATAAAATAATGCACTGTTGTGGTAAACCACTGGATATTTGTTAACAGTAACGGATATTGTTGCAAAGCGAGTGCTAAGATAACGCTAATAACAGTTCTAACGCTGTGTTCAGAACCTCACGGGTCTCGCATTATTGCCTAGTTTCTGTACGTATATCTTCGCAATTGTTACCAGGATATAGGCAACTTTTTATTTTCTCCTGGTTTATGAGTTCTATTACTGAATTAACACAATTCAATGTTTTTCATACAAACTTTGAACATTTGTTACAACTACCGTATTGTCACTTCCATGATCATTTATACGTCTCCTCAAGTAAACAAAACGATTTCGACTTGAGAGTAAGCAATATCATTAATTAATGAAGATTACCATAATTACACCGAGTTTTAATTATCATCGCCTATTCACTAGACGTCCATTTATCGCATCCTTATCGTTTGTCGCATTTGGAGCGGCATTCAAGACGTCCCAGCAAATTCCACAAAGAGGAAATTTAGCCACAATAAAGCACAGTATCATTCATAAGTGTGATTCTCCATGATTGGTTGCAATGCAGTGTACCGAAAGATGTTTTTGATCGCTTTTGTGTGGATTAAATATTTGGGTGATTATATATGCATGCTGGGTCATTTCTGAATGAACTGTAGTATTGCTGCAAAAGGCAAAAGTGTTTATGACTCTCTAACACATCGACAAATTGTACAATCAATTAACGCTTCATATTGCGATAAAAACACAAATTTACAATTGAAAATGAAAACAGGTACTTTAGGAAAGTGGAGAAAACCTTTGAACAATATGGAAAAACCATAGCTGGAAATATATTGTCTGGACTTGCGAATGAAGTTGAAACACAGACCACCAACAGTACACGTCAACCACACCGCAATATGCAGGTATGCCATAACAATTATATTTATCTTTCTGTAGCGGTAGGAATAAGAAAGTCAGTTGTTGTATTGCTTCAACTGTTTGTGCTATATGCATCATTGCTGTAGTACAGTAATTTACTGTACAGTATTTGTACTAAACTGAATGAAAAAGTGTAATAGTTAGAAATTAAATGACGAAACCCCTGAGCTTCAGCCTACATTGCTTATGTTGAATCAGACCCAGACCGCCCCCCAAAGATTCTCTGGTGTCACATGCCAGATAAATAAACGTCCATACGCCTGGTGGGTGATATTTGCGAACGACGGCAACAGTAGGTTGAAAAAACTTCGGTGTTACCGTTGGTGACCGTACATTTGAACACACGTACATTTGAACCCATGCGTATATCCACGGGTTCAATCTATATGCGGGTGCTAAAACCCATGGGTTAGGGTTAGTATCGGTTTAACTATCCGTGAAACAAAAAAAAGATCCATAGCTGCAATAGCATACAAGTGCAATTGTCATGGGTTCAAATGTACGTGGGTTCAAATGTAATGGAACCGTTACCGTTAATACTTCTTCATCCCTTGCCAATCTACAACGACCCACAATGAACAGGATGCCCTGTACTTTTTAAAAACGCAAAACTCTAACTAGCGATATATTTCAAAGATGAGGATGATGGTAGCGGCATCTGGTTTTCAACATCTGCAGAGTAGATTGTTTCATATGGCCGATGATATTATACGGAAAGCAGAAATGCGTTCTTCGCCCGACGAAAAGTTATTTATAACTTCAATAAAAAGCCTAATTTTTTTGGGTAAGAAAATAATATAATTTGCTCTTGCCAGATATGCATCTACCATATCTAATAAAATTGTAAGTTACTATGACTTCTATAACTTGATGTATGGCAGTTTTTCATTGGCTATGTGTAACGGACATAAACATAATGAGTCTCATGGTATGATAGTTGTATTTCAAACGATCATATCGACTTTTGCTTTTGTCACAGTAATTCAACGTTCTACAATCAAAATTGTGAGGTCAATGGGAGAAATGTTTAAACAACAAATGTGTGTGAAAGAAAATTCCGAAAATTCAAATGAAATTGTCAATGATAATATTGATAACTAAATCGAAATGGCGGATTATGTTTCCAAGATGTGATTCTATAATGTACTTAATAATACGATGTTTAACTGCATATGTTGATTTAACTTTCTATTTATATATATATACAATACATGTGTAATATTTATTTCAACCTTTATTCAAGTTATATATAGGATATTCTTTCCATAACTTCTAATCTGCTTATTCATATTTTTGTCTCCCAATGTTAATAAATTGGATACCCGAGTTTAAGAACTTTTTAATAAGTTCTATTTTCACCCCAGTAGAAGCTTTAACTGCAACTAAAGTATCTACCTAGTGTATTGGATATTTCGTACACACTGCTACGTTTTTTTATTTTTTATCTAGAAAGGAGCTTGTAATTATTTGCATTAGGTATATCAGAATATCCTTCGAGACGATTCGAAGTGATTTTCCTATCTTGATATATTAAATGAGAAAAATCTCTCGCACATCAACTGATTTCATCACATCAATATTTGACTGGTATCAAAAATCGAGAAATTTTGGCCATTTTTCCTTCGCTTCTACAGCCGGAACGCCCATATGGGTGTACTTTTTAATAAATTGTAAAATTTATGTACTTATAGAGTCAATATCGCTCTTAGCTGTTTATCGACGTAATGCCCTGATATGAGAGAAGCGATAAAACCTTCCAGCCGTGACGCAAAGTGCGAATCGTATAAATATCCATGATTTCAAAATCACCTGTCAGACGTCTGAAAAATGTGACTTATTATTGTTTTAGCATGTATTTTCAGTCATACTAACTATCCCTGACCATCCCTGGCGCTGTGTTGTTTTGATAAATATGATTTCGAATGCTCCATAGTTGGCAGAGGTATGGAGATTTTTTGTATGTAAAAAAAACGTAAAATTAATGGTAATTTTACCGCGTAAATGCGCGTATGAGATTGGTTACGCCGTTCTAAGCGCATTTCCGTCGAAAAAATTTAAATTTTTTGCATTGGGGGTGGTCTGTGCAGTAATAATAAGAGCTGTGACGTCATCAGTATCGGTAATTTGACCTTGAACTTGACAATACTGTAAATACAATTGTGAATTTCAGAGTGATAACCATTTATGCTATAATAGTCGTTTTGGTATTGTTATGTTAGGAAAAACTTGACGAAAACGTTTAAGAAAAAATTAATTAATTAGGAATTAATTATTAACCCTCTACTGTACACAGAATATCTCAAAGTCCAGTTTTTTTTTTAGAAATTTTTGAAATTTTTTTGCAAAAATTTTTTTCGAGGGGTGTGTTTTAAAGATATATTGCTGAATAGAACTCTAGCAGACGCTTTTAAAAACCCATGAATAAAGCTTTAGGGATTAATGGTTGACATAAAAAAATAAGTTTAAAAATACCCATAAAATGGGCAGGGCTTGAGGCTTAAAAAGGGTTAACAAGATAAACATAATGGGATTAACTTTGAACCTTGGCAGCACCGATTCGCGAAACTAAACGCTGATAAATATTTATTTTAAACACAGATTTGAATAACTTCGACAAAATAGTTAATTATATCAATTTCGGTCTTTAGGGTTCTATAGTTTAGTAATCACGAGTATGAAAATACCGTGAACGGTCGACGAACAAGAGCAAGGTTATACATATATATTCAAATTAAGTCCAGACACTTGCGTTAGTAAGTATTGAGTTTTAATCAAGAAAAGAGGAAACTGCCTAGACGTCGATGTTGCATTGTGCTAAATAATGAAAAATAGTGGAAGGTTTTTGGAATAAAACTTTGTATAATTTGGCAGAAAATGACTATCAGTAGCTTAAACCTAATTTAACGTGACGATTCGCGCCTATATTGTCTATCTTTTAGTGGTTGATGCTATCTATGATTTTCAAGCGTTTCTTGTATAAAGTAATTAAAACAAATGTTTGATAAATATGTATATTGATGTACAAAAAAAATAGAATAAATCACAATTGAGGAAGAACATATAAAACCATCGAAACAAGTATTGGAAACTTGAAAAATAAATAAATAAAAACTCCTAATAAATGTCATTCAGATGTGTTGATAAAAATACACGTACATCCCAGGCTGATACTTTGAGTCGTTAAGAAGCCTTTTCCTTCAGAATTTTTCATACAAACTGCTAAGTTTGTTTTTATCTCTTGTGAAAGGAGGTTGTAGTTTATCTCCTTAGATATCGGATCTATGCAGTACTTCGACGCGCATCGGTGTTCAATCATTGTTTGAGGGTATCTGCAAGTAAATATATATTCTGGTAATAAATTATGAAGTACAATTAATTGTGATTTTCTGATATTTTGTTCAATACTGAACTGCGTAAATTTTAGAACTGCGTACTAATGTGGGTCTCAAGTTTGAAACGCGTTTACAGTTCGGTACAAAAGAAGCCTCAGTGGATTATGATGTCCTCAAAAATTTGGTATAGTTAATGAATGAAAAAAAAATTACCTTTGTGGACAGTGTATTTTCACTTTTTGAACAGCAGACCAGCTATCGAGTAGATCTGTTTCAAGAATCTCTTCGGTGCACGGAGTTTCTGCTGCCTTCTGGATTATTCTCGTACTGTAAATACAATACAATGTAACGAAAAAGAATTTCTATTAGGTAACTGATGAATAGTGTAAAACTATTTTACAAATGTTGTTATATGCCTAATAAAACTTTTCTTCAGAAGGAACTTGGTATCAATTTGAAAAAAAAATATTTATCAAAATAATAATAAAAAGATTTTTTCTTTAAGACTGAATTTCAAAATAATTGCTATATTCAGAATACTTGTACGATACCTCAGACTCTTGGTCGACTTTTCTTTTCCTATATTTTCCAAATAATCACACGGCGATTTCGTTCCCTCAGTTGTTGAATCTACAAGTTCAATTGTAGTTTGAGGGTCTTGGACAGGATGATTTGCGCCAACTGCGACGAACGAATAATCAAATAACGTGATTTGCAATGCGATTAAAATAATAGTGTTCATTTTTTGCGTTTCGTGCGACAAGTGAAATGAAATCTAAGAATTGTGCGTTTTTATATACTTTTTCCCTGAACATGGTACAAGTTCAGTTTCCTGTTCGCATTATTTTAGTGAATTTTTATCATTGGTCCTTATTTGTCAAGTATCCAATAATCCAAGAAATCATGTCTCGACTAACTGAATACGTCACAAGCGGAAATCTCATTTCCAGTCTCAATCAGAATTATTTTTACATCATGTTATATATTTAACTCAATGACATTTGTAATGTTATAGGATGCAACTGATGTATTTGGGAATTTTATGTCCATGTTTCATTTTCGCTGAGTAATCATTCCACGTTTTCCTTTGTAAATAATGCTATGTCACAATACGTAAATATAGGTCATGGTACGTGCATGAATCCAAACTCAACATATGAATCATCTCCGGGTATTGAAGCTTTCAACAAATTCTGATCTATCTCATTTTCATAAGACGATAATATACTTGATAATAAAATGGCCATCAGTGAACGAATCTCAAGAGGTTGTTACCGTGTGACTATGGCAAGTGCTCCATTTAAACAAATGCTTCATGTATTTTATGGATTATAAATCCAATGTTATGATAACATATTGTTTGTATAAACATTTGTCAAACGTATAAATTAGATAACGTGAATGCAAACTAGCTTGCGAAGTAGTAATACCGCGTCAAAGTATAGTAGCGCTTATGCGTATTGGTAAAATAGACTAAAATACAGGAAATTCTATCGATCACTACCTTAACCAGTTACTCGGACATATTTTGAATGCATTTTGACAGCGGTGTTTTTATTTTTAAACTTCTTTTACGTCATTACAGTGTCAATTTTATTTTCTTATAAAAAATGATCTCATATATTCAATAATTTTTTCGACTTTACAATGTGATACTGATGAGACAGATAAAAATAACTTTGAATGTTTAATATAGAACAAAGTTTTTAAATAAATTCCTATATTTTTAGGTACATTGATTTGTTAGCTGACTTCTAAAACAACACACATGTGTGAAAGATGATGATTAAAACTACATTGCTATTTAAACGTAATGGATAGATTTAACGTAATCGATGACTGAAATAAAAATGCGAATATTAAAAAATACTGAGTTGTTCACCAGTGCGCCAACCAAACGATAATAACCAACCAAAGGCATTTGTGGTGAAACAACATTCAAGGTTTTTTATGAACCACATGTGCATATCACCGACACAATAATAAATTATACTGAGTTTAAATTCACAACTCTGAATATCTGTTTATTCTGCTTAAATATACTTTGGGGCAGGGATGATGAACCATTCTTAGTAAATGAATCAAAACTTATATTTTTACTGCGGAAAAGAAATCTATGATTGTGGGCCATAGATATTTAATCATAGTTTGAATCAATGAGAACTTCGCAAGTTTCATAAGCCTTGATTGCTGTAATGAAGTTTTGATCTTTAAGCACGCAGCGCTTGTATCGGGACTCAGGCTAGTTCTGGTATTCGACTCGACAAATAAACACGGATTTGCATGCATACGATTAACCGAAAAACGTTCATAATGCTACCGAAAATCTTTTACAGTCTTGGGGAAAATCCAACCCTAGAGAACCATATTTTTGACCGCCTTCCAACCACATTAAAGTCTCTTTCATTTTTATTTTAAAATTCTGGGGTCGGTAATTTAATTCAACGAAATTTTGTTTTACAAACAGCATTATATGCGGTAAAAAATAAACAGTAAGTAGCATCTAGTTTTCGTCTACAACCAAAACGTTATACGCCCTTCCTTAGCTTATGTACTTGCAAAAGGGATTCTATATATATAAGACAAGTTTCAAGAAAGTTAACGTATTATTGTTATTGTTATGTCATAAACGTACAGAACGTTGTTACTAGTAGCTGCATACTACATTTCGTTAGACTGAATTAAATCTGGTTTTATCTTCAATATTTATCACTAAAAAATTGATTATTATTCAATATTTCATAGCGTGGCGGTTCAACAAAAAAAGATACGGGTCACTTTGTGACCCGCGGGTCAGTGGCTCGCCATCCCCGCTTTATTGTATCAATAATTTTTAGAATATTATTTGTTGTGAAAAGTTGTTTATTCGGAAAATGGTGTCAGCATTCTGATTGAAAGATGACTGTATTAAGCTACAGGCTTACCACAGCAGCTTTCGGGAGGTGGTTACATTGAAAGACTACCTATATGTATGGGTTTTGATTTTTTCGATCCAAACGATCGATTAAAAATGTTAAGCTACATATTCGATTGCAAATTCGATTCGATCATTTGGGCGTTTCTATTTTATGCCCACTGCATGACGAATTCTAGTACGCAATAACAGAAAAGAAACAAACTACAGTGTTTTGATTGATAATTATATTTTAAATTTGTTCGAAATAAAACTGTTTCTAATATTTCATGTTCAATCATATATATGCGGTTGTGTGTGTGTGTTGGATGCAACTCCATAAAACACATTTTCAGTTTCGTCATGATGATAATTTAATACGTAGGGCGTGACATTTGATGGTCACGAATCTACGTCAATAAAAAGATAAGAATGTTAGAATACTGTGTTTTATATTGCAACCATTCAAATACTAGGATATTATAATTTATCGGTTACTCATTTTACAGCATTATGTTAGAAATAAGAATAAAAATTGTTTGCAAATTCGAACTTTATATACTATGTAAATTGTGAAACCGCAATGATATTTTATAGTTTCCTAATTTTTGTCATGTTTTGACGTGTTTTTGGCACGCTTGGTATAGGAATATGACATGGATTGATCCTATGTCGTTTCAAATGTCATTATTTTGATTTTCGTGAACAATAGTCAATTTTCAAAGAGCAAATTTCCATATCCCAAATACTTCCAGTAAACTGTCAATGAAATAGGAAATTGTTTATTAATCATATTGTGTACGCAAAACAGACTGCTTTGCAAATATATATATATATTAGTACAAAAATGATTTACATAAAACTGAAAATATGCGTGCGAACAATTTTTCGTTGAAATATTTTATAAATAATAATAATAAAATCCACGACGTTGACTGATACAAACCGGAAAAATAGTTTCAGTACGAAGGACATTTCGGACATGAAGTTGGTGCATGTATACTAAGCGTGGCGAAGATACAAACAGTCACGAAGGAATATGAGTTCTCTTCTTTGTAAAATACTTATCTCTCAAATTATTTAATAATTTTTATAATAAACCCAAGCAGATAAGTTGAATCTGAATGAATTATAAAGGTTTTAATATTGGCGACTACATAAGAATCAAACAAAACTCAGTCTTCCACCCTGTCGCATTTGACGTCACCCAGGTCTCACTCATTACACGAAGACATGTACGCGGATGATTATAACAAGATGATTGTAATTGCACGACTTGAAGGAAATAAGTCGAAAGAACAAATGAACTGCTGTCCCCTCTTGTAACCTATTATTTTCAATCATTGAACACATATTAAAATATTCAAATTTATTTTGTATGTATTCCATATATTATAACATGTGCAATACTTCACATAGGGCTATAAATTAGTTGTTGAAATATAGATATTAAACATTCCGGCTCGTTTGAATACTGCTAGTGAAAATCGTCTCCAGTTACATTTACATGTTTAATTAACATACGAAGTCCAATGCGATAATCCCTAAAGTGACCTTTACCATATGTGAAGAAAAATAATATGAAATGAATTGTCATTTTCTCCTAAAACATAATTCCGGAAAACTAAATTTTGTTTATTATGCAACGTATGCCTACTGTGTCCATGCACAAACGTATACATGCTATTTTTGTAGAAAAAAGTTATAAATAGTAGATATAATGTTCCTGATACAATAAAACTGTTAAACTTTCATATATCCAAAATAAAATTCAGCTTTAATGTCAAATATTTTATATTATATTTTTATATTGATTTAATATTTCTTGGACAAATATATAACATCAATAAATAATTTATAAATAAATAATGAAATAAATATATAAATATAATTTAATTCTTGATGATCGAAGTTATTGTACAGTATCATTTTTGACAGTTTCACGGTCCTTTGACAGATGTAAAAAATATGTGCAAATTTTAAATAATCACGCTATATAATTTGATAAAAAAAGAAATTAAACGGATTTTTTGACAATTTTGCCTAAAACTATTGAAGAAATTTTAAAAATAAATAGAATCTTTGAAATTTCGCTACATCTTTTGGTAACAACTAAACGCACAAAAGTTTCACAGTGTTAAAACGTTGAACAATTCAGAATGTCAGAATCTAATTTGACTATTAAATAAAACCAATAAAACGTACAACCCTCCATCTACTATTGTATAAACGCGAGTTATATTAAAACATAACATAAGTATAATTGCATATCTGAGGAAATGATGTGATTGTCCATATAAAGACTTATGTGCGGTCGATCTATGCATACAAGCGTTATGCTGTTAAATATTTACACGGAAAGCACCGCTTTAGCACCATATTCCTGTTATTAAGAATCAAACATGAACTAGATATACACAGGACGAACACAAGTGCATCCCACACGGATTTCTTCTTTTCCTAGAGTGAACAATCCCGTAGAAGCATTTATAAAAAAGGCTCGAGCTTCTGCTTTAATCAACTGAGACAAATATTCCATCGTTTCTACTCCTGTACTTGGATTGATACAGCCTTTACAAAGACATTTATTTTGAAGAATGTATTTTGGGAACCTGTAATATGAATAACCAATTATTAAAACAAATATCAGCGATGTTACTTTTTAAAGAGTTCTGTTCATACTTAACTTTATATGTATTTGCATTATAATGTTTCGATATTCTACTCATGTCGTTTTACATATATTTACTCCAATATTAAAAACTCGTACCTGTCTTTGTTGTATGTTAGTTCGTCGTCATATGGAGACAAACTTCGCAGCCCGTCCATCTTTTGATGCTTTTCAAAATATTCTCTGTTCATGACTGGACAACTCGTTACGGATCTCCTCTTTCTAGCGTGCATTTTAGGATGCTTTCTGAAGGCATTTGTTCTGGCTTCCTCCATTTCCGACATTGTTGCTTTTAGCATGTATTCTTTTGTTTTTTGCATCAACTCGCTGTTCATTATATTGTTACATTCGAGCCTGAAAAGATATTTCAATTTGATTTATGTTGCTGAAATATTTCCGTCATAAAAGAAAAAAAAAGATTAACACAGACTAACTTTAATTCATTCCTATCGTCCAGTTGTCAAAAACATTACGAAAAGAATTTAGTAGTGAGTCAATGGTGGCGCACGATAAATGCTCTTTTAGTTATCTAAATGACTCTATGTGTATATCACGATCATAAAGTACGCGATGACTTGTTTATACGTAGTTTAATAACGACGCATCATTATTTAGCTCTTTTAGTTATCTATACAATGAAGATAGCGAATATTCTCGACGAACACATTAACATGAAAATACATTATTATCTAGTTATTTGAACAATAAATAATTTGTCTTCGAAATGAAATACTAGTTTAGAATGCCAAAAAGTAATTCAAATGAGAGAGGAATCAACTTTGACACCGCTTTTCGACATAATCTTATTTACTTACATCGTTTGTTCAGAGGCCTCTTCAGTTTTGCCTAAGAGCTGCTCACAATCAAATTCTGATTCTATTTCCGCTATGATATCTAAATGCGGATGAAACTTTTGCTGTTGCGCCACAGTAATCTGGTACATTGCACTCAAAGTCAGTCCAATTCCTAGCACAAATACCGCTGATTGAATTTCCATTTCTTTTTTATTGTTACTTAGTCGTATATATGTATATATATATAAATAATATTTTGAAACGTTCTTCTTGGATTTTCTCAATGAATGATTTCGAATTGGATCGAAGAGCCAAATATAAATACCCGAAAGGTCGCAACCGCGTCCTCTTGTGGTATGAAAATAACCATTTTCAGTGTATGTATCATTTTTGAAAAAATTAAATTCCGTGATTTGGTTATGTGCGCTTTCGTCACGGTGCGTAATTTGCATATGTCGTTTTATTCCAATTAACTCATAGCATTACTTTCATAGTATAGAATGCTAATAAGTGCATTACATTAAATATAGTGCATTTCATCATATTATTAGTTATAGTAGTAATATATTAACTCCGAAATACTATTAAATTTTGATCATGTCGCTAAAGGAGTGTACAACATTGACAGGAATCGGAAGGGTGAAAAAATAGAGCAACCAAAGACGGAAATAATTTGATAAAAATAGAAATTCTTATCTAAGATGTCGAGCGGAAACTTGAAGAAAACGCATAAAATATTAGGGTTAAAATTGGTTGAATACATCCGGTAGTCGCAGCTAGTATCGCGAATCCCCAAATCAGTTGTCTGGTTTCGTATTCGACTTGGAATAGCGAATGAGTCTAAAATAATTATTGGTTGGAATTCGTCAAATTAGTCGAGAATACTTGGAAACGTCATAGTCTTCCTTCCTAAACGGGAAATGTCTGGCAGTTTTGTTTGGCGTGTTTAATAATTGAGCCCAGCTAAATGACAAAGATTCGCCGTGCATTTCAATAATTGTGTTTGGATATCCAGTATATTACGTGATTCAGTGTGGCAAAACAATGGTGCATGCTCCTCAAATAGAGCCGTTTTAAAAGCAAGAATGGAAATCTGGTTTTTACTTTACCAGATTTTTCAATTCCAATTTTACTTTAAATATTTCAACTGAAACTGCTGTTAAGAACTTTGGGCAATTTAAAAACTTGACATTTACGACATAAAATTATTGATTTGAAATACAAGTATTTAAAATTAGCAGCATTTGTTACATATACTATAAGCAGAAGAGGTGAGAGAATTAAAAAAAAAATCACTTAGCCTATTTTGGTCATGTATTGAAATATAGTAAATATATTAAAAATATTCACTGTGAGGATGATTCCTTTTGTTATTTCCTATGCATTTATATGTAATACACATCATGCTTTAAGGTGTCATTGAAATAACTCATTTACGTTGACCTGTTCCATTCATAAAATCATCGCAGTGACGCACCTAAATGTTATGACATAATATGAGGTATGTCACTTATATTTTCATGTCTACACGTGATTTATTCTAATTATATTATATCGTTCCCCATTATAGAATTCGACGGATGCGCATTTGACTCATTTATAAACATGTTGGAACTTAAATTTTGAATGTAATTATCCGAGAAATATATATTACCATTTAAATCAACACATAATTTGAAGGCAACGAGGATATAAAAGCTTAAACACGAAGAAAATCGAATCATTTGTTTGTTCTGTAGCAAGGCTAGGTTTAATAATCAGCATTTCACGAATATCAGACAATATTTTATGATGACGTCATTAGACATATGTAGTCGTAACTTGCATCCGGCGTCCTAAAGTATTCGCTAACTTTGTATATTACGAGCATCCTTCAATTAATGACGATATACCGTGTCGATTTCTACTGCCTTCGTTGTCGTCTTATGGTCGGGTATTATGACGTCATGTTAATGTAAATCACTACAGATTTATTTAGTTTGGGTAAATAGGTGGTATTTCAAATTTGTGTATTCCACGTCTTGTACAATTCTATGAATTTTACCATTCCACTACCTATCTTAAACTAAACTTTTTTTGGCAAGCTTCATTATGTATTTGCAAGATGACATGACCTGGAAAAGCTATTTCAAAATAGAATTTTAGCTGAAATTTTCATAAATCTATTTTAAGGTATGTTGAAGTAAAGACAAAATGAAGTGGCAGTGATTACAAATCAATTTCTTTAAAGTTCAACTTTATAAAAGATCAGAAACTGAAATTGATCCAATAGTATGATTTTATGGAAATTCATCGACGCTTTTTAAAATTAATTGAATTCGAATTAATAATTCTATTGGGTAGAATGTGGGAATTTCCAGCGGCTGGGAAACGCCAACGCTCTATAGAACGTGATATGAGGAGTCAGATTACTTTTCTCAATACTCTGTGATGCGCAACATGCTAATACACTATTTGTTACGCATAAATTGTTAATGTCATAAAATAAAGTAAAATGCAAGCACACACTCACCAAATAAAGAAGTGCATGTCTGCGGATGACGGTTTCCATGTTTTACTTCACCCGAAAGACCGCTTTAATTTTATTAGTTTTGATATAAATTATTTTTTGTATACTGTCCTAATTAGTTCTAGAGTTTCATTCTTGGAAGTTCAACAACAAAATGATGTTGAAGAGCAAGAAAGCACGTAGTTAGTGCACACTTAACTAGTAATGAAACACGACTTTCAATAACTAACCGTACATGCATTAGCAATACCCTTCGAAATAAAAGGAATATTATGGTTACAATGATTCGTTCACACGCCATACTTTAATTCTCAACAATTGTGAGAAATACTAATTCTGATGGTGCTAATTATATCCCAGGAAAGCGATCAATTTGTTCGCGTTGCTTTTTTTTATTTGTATATTTTTCAAGGTAAAGATGCCCATACAAAATTTCAAAATATTTTCCTAACGAATGGGTAATGTAAATAAAAGCAAACTTAAATATCTTCGAGTACAAGAATCAGTACCTTTAATTTTTTGGAATAGCGAGTAAAATATAAATTTAGGCAACTACAAAACGCTGATTTGAGAGAGGATCGATCTACAATTAGGACCAAAAAGAATCAGTTAAAGATGAAATTTTTATTTTCTTCGGGTTTCAAATTGCATGGAGTTATATATAGTGATTATACATATTTATGTTGCATTGCAATTGGAAGGGTAATTTAAATTACTGCTCTATAAAAGATCGCTGGAATTAAAATCCACTTGAACCTAATTGTATTATCTATGGAGCCTCACGATATATTTAAAGTTAGAATTCGAGCATCTAAATTCTAAACAGATAAATCAAATTGCAAATTTATCTCTTCTTGATCAAGAGATTTCTTAATTAATTAATGTAAAAACACAAAAAAGTTCAACTAAATGTCATTCGTACATTGTTGTGCTTTGACATTTCCTGTTTCCGGTGTCCGAAAGCAAAACGCGTGCGCAATGATGCATGGAACTTGACAATCTGTCATTTTTGCAGCAGCTGAATATGTTAGCTTCCGGATCGGTCGTGTTGTTTCTCTTAAATACATTAATTTATTGCAAAATGATTTAATTTGCACTTACTCGGGTTGAATAATTAAATCAAATCAGTAAAACGTTAAATATTACTTCTATTGAAGATCCACTTCGGCATTACACGTTTCGTTGCCTATCTAGGTAATAAATATCATGCTCCCTTCTGTGTCATGTCAGCACTTATTATTACCACATCCAAGGATCTAGTTATGACATCAGTTAAAATATAAAGGCATCACAACTATAAATTAATTTGCTGTCCTTTTTTTGAACCTTTCGGATTTGGCAAATACCACTCTCGAGCGAGATTCATATTGAAGGTCTTGTTTCCTAATGACATTAATTTTATCTCTAGCTTTCCTGAATAGAACAGAAATTTAAAATTATCCAACAAACTCAAGAAGAGATCGGTGCCGAAAACTAGTACTTTTCTATACTTGTTTATTCTTGATGATAAATCTGCATAGATACCTCGTCCTAAAATTTCCTACCCAATCGGTCGTTTTTTGTTTATTAAGTAATTTGCGATTATTGTTTAATTATTATTGTTTGATTATTTGTTCAACGTATACGCCAATTGCATATAAATCATGGTTCATGTTGTTTTTACATGTAAAAAGAAATACTTTCTTCTACTGTTTCTTTCTTTAAACGAACCTATGCAAAAACATCATTTGAAGTTGAATCACGATGTTGTTGATAATCATCGTTATAAAACTTAGCAACCACGTGCCAATGTGTAACTGAATATTGAGAAACAATCGTACAGTTTGCTGCTTGCTATTACAGAAACGGTTTATAAATGAAAGTTGGCAAACATTAAATTTTATCATATTTGGTCAAAATGCAAGCGACACATAATCGAAAATTGCCTTATCATCATCCAAATGCCAATCAGAGCATTTATTTTATCTTACAGCACACCACATTTAAAATTGAGAAATGGCTGTAACTGAAAACATGGCGATATCGGAAAATTCTTAAAAGTACATAATAAAATATGCTTAGCAAAGTCGCGACAATTTGATTACGTACAGGCATAACCAGGCAATTTTGATGGTGTACTCAAGGTTTACTGCACTGTACTCAAGGTTCACGTCGTTGCATAAGAAATTTGTCACTGTCAAGAATTTAGCTGTTAAATAGGTATGTTCCAAGCAAAATATTGCTGTCAATTATTGCCGGACTGAATAACATATTGGAAACCTTTCCCACGAACAAACGGAAACACTGCATCAGCCACTGACAATCCATCTCTTTGATTAAGAGACTTATTACATGGGGAATTTCGAGTTGGGCCTCGTAGCAGGCATTGTCAGAAATTATGAATCAAAGTCTAGCTCATACAGACTATACGGGAACTTCGTCATTGGGGTAGGGATGTGAAAATGTGAATCGATTTTTGAATGGATGTGAATATATTGCCTTCTGTTGGAGATACTATCATTTTATATTTTTTTGTATTGTTTCCATTTTATTTCATAATGTCTGCTTGTGAGGTGACATTATTTTGGTTTGCATTATAATCCAAGCAAATGTCGCCATTGTCATTCGAAAACATATTGGCATCTGAAGAAACAAAATGACATCTGAATAATTATGTGCAATAATCAAGTTTCCAATCTGCCTAAATGTTACCCGTAGATAGATTGGAGCATATATTATCGATTATGCGATATCCGAAAACTAACATAATATAACAAACATGGCATGAGCTTTATCCAAAGTCACCCTTGTTTCAAACGTTCAACATGCTAACCACATACGTTGTTTATTCAGCCAATTTTGGTTAATTTTGTACCAGCTCTTAACTCACAGCCTTGGGAAGTGGAACTTCCAAATAGTGATGTATTGCTTGCTAATATTATTTCGAAAACAGATCCCTTACCTCTAGTAAACAAGCATATGATGAATATATTACCGAAAATTACGGTCAATACAATAGACGGATAGGGGATGTGGTTCATCATTTCGTATTTTTGAGTATGATGTTTCCAACACTTTTACACTCGACAAAATATCAAGTTCGTTCACAA